TAGCTAAGATTGCTCGTGAAAATCAAAAGTGTGAGATATATGTTGAGCATGGGGTAGATGAGCCTGAGGTGGTTGGTTTATGTTTGCCTGGGCCTAAGGATGATGGGAATGAAGCTGGATTAGTGGGTGAGGAAGAGGTGGCAGAAGCTGATATATTGGGTGAGAGATTAGGGGTAGAAGATGAAGTATTGGGTGAGGAAGGGGGGGCAGAAACTTCAGAAGATGAGCATGGTGGCAGTGAGGGTGAGGAAGAAGGGAGTGAAGTAGATGCTGATTATAGTGGCAGTGAGCATATAAGTAGTGACAGTGAAGGTGAGGAGACTACAAATAGGACTAAGAGGAAAAGGAAAATAGGAGTACAAGCTGAACCTATACCACAATCTGTGCCCACATCTGAAAATCCTTTAGTAGATGAGGCAGATTCTGTGTACTATGATTCACAAAATCCACCAACTGTTGAAGAAGACTTGGAGAATGAGGATGGGAATGAGGTTCAATCAAGGTACAATGATAAGTACCCTAAATATAACTCTAAATCTGATCCACCCTTTCTTGAATTAGGCATGTATTTTGATGATAATGTGCAGTTCAAACTTGCCATGATAAGTTATGCTATACACACCAAGAGGGATTTATTTTGGAAGAAGAATGGTTTAAAGTATGTTAGAGTGGAATGTCTTGGAAAGGGGTGTGGATTTCATGTGAGTGCAGGGTGGGAGGAAAGAACAAAGTGTTTTCAATTGAAAGCTATTCATTTAGATCATAAATGCAACAGTCAATTCACCTTAGGCATTGTTAGTAAAAAATGGTTAGAATGGAAATATGAAGACAAGGTTAGGCAGAATCCAACTATTGGGTATTCTGAGTTGAGCAAAGATATAAAGTCTGAGTTGAACCTCAATGTCACTGTTAGTATGTGCAGAAGGGCAATTACTGGGATTCTGAAGAAGCTTGACATAGGGTATGAGAGCCAGTTCAAAAGGATTAGGGATTATGCACAAGAATGCTTGAATTCTAACCCAGGCTCTACTGTGAAGATTCACACAACTAGCACTGTTCCTAATTCACCCTTGGTATTTCAGAGGATATATGTGTGTTTTAATGCAATGAAGAAGGGTTTTCTAGGGGGTTGTAGGAAGTTTATTGGTCTAGATGGCTGCTTTCTGAAAGGTAAATTGAAAGGTGAGATCCTCTCAGCTGTGGGCAGAGATGGGAACAATCAAATGTACCCAATTGCCTGGGCTGTGGTAGAGATTGAGAATAACTCGTCATGGAGCTGGTTTTTGAATCTTTTGAAGACTGACTTGGAGATTGAGGACAGCACTCAATGGACTTTAATGAGTGATCAACAGAAGGTAAATCTGTTTCTACATTCAATATGTTTCTGTTTCTGTTTTCTATAATCTGTTTGTGTTTCTGTTTACTATAATCTGTTTCTTGTTTCTACAGGGGTTATCTACTGTAATTCAGGAACTATTCCCTGGTGTTGAGCACAGAAATTGTGCTAGGCATGTCCATGCCAATTGGAGTAAGACTCACAGAGGGATGGTTCTAAAGGGACTGTTTTGGCAGATTGCAAAGACCCCTAATCAAGCACTACTTACAGATAAGGTAAAAGCTTTACAGAAGGTAGATGCTGCAGCTCTTCATGATCTCAATAAGTATCCTATGAAATTTTGGTGCAAAGCTTTTTTCAAAGAGGAAGTGCGATGTGACATGACAGACAATAATTTGAGTGAAGCATTCAATAAGACATTGTTGGATGCGAGTAAGAATATCATTCCAATGCTAGAGGACATAAGAGTTGCAATGATGAAGAGGGTTGCAAAGAAGAAAGCACTTGGTGAAAGATGGAATGGGAATTATGGCACTATTATTATGAAGAAGTTGAATGAAAACATTATTGGGAGTAAAGATTGGGAGGTGGTTTTCAATGGAGTTGATGGATATGAGGTGAAAAAGGGAAGGTTTCAATTCAAGGTCAATTTAGATTTGAGGACTTGTTCTTGTAGAATGTGGCAATTAACTGGTTTGCCATGTCCTCATTCCATTTGTGCAATATTTCACAAGGGGGATCAGCCAGATCAGTACATACATATATGTTACAGTAAAGAGATGTACATGAAGACCTATGAGCATGTACTACAGCCCATAAATGGAGAACAATTTTGGCCAAGGGCTGAAGGTGGTGAGTTACATGCTCCAGTTCCAAGGAAGATGACCGGCAGACCCAAGAAAAAAAGAAAGCTTGAACATGATGAAAAGAACAAGGATAAAAACAAAATAAGTGAAGAGGTTAGAAAGTTGTCAAGGAAGGGAAGGGTAATGACCTGTCAGCTATGCAAGGGGAAGGGGCACAACAAAAGATATTGTCCTACCCAACAAGGACAAGCTGGTGATTGACTGTTTTGGCAGTGACTTTTGGCAACATAAACCTGAATGACTGTTATGACTGTTTTGGCTTATGTATTCTATGTAAATCTGACTTATTCACTTGTGTAATGTACAATGTAGTATGACTTATGTACATATGGCTTATTGCCTTAATGCTTAATGATTTTTGGCACTTGTTTGGCAGTAACTTTTGGCAACATAATGCTTATTCACTTGTTTATGGCTTACTGATGTTTTGTATTGGTTTACTGTATTAGCCAGAAAACTGAATTTTGTATTGGTTTACTGTATTTTTTTTTAAACATCAATCTCATCTGCATCAACCTGCAAGAAATGGCTTCATCTCTAAAGTTGTAGATCCACCAAACAAATATCTGCACAGCAGGTCAGCTCAATAGAGCCTCATCCCTGCTGCCAGTACCACAACAAGCTGTAGACCCTCAGAGATTGTCCAGCAAACAATCCATCATTGGGTATTCATTCATTTCTCAATTGGGCAGAACAAGTCTCAGCTAAATCGACTTCATGGACTAGTTCCCCCGAACTTATTTCATACTGGCAATAGGAACTCCTTTTATCACCCTCAGCATACTGGCTAAGGTGTCTCTTAGCTTTAACCACCCTCAAGGTGCTTGCAGAGGACTAAGCAGACAATTTGAATTAGTCTGCAATAATCAATTATTGCAGACTAGACTAAGTAGACTGCCAGGCAGATAATCAATTATTGCAGACTAGACTAAGTAGACTGCCAGGCAGATAATCAATTATTGCAGACTAGACTAAGTAGACTGCCAGGCAGATTGTGTATAGCTTCTATTATTGCAGACTAGACTAAGTAGACTGCCAGGCAGATTGTGTATTGCTTAGAAGCTTACAGATTGTGTATTGCTTAGAAGCTTACAGATTGTGTATTGCTTAGAAGCTTAAAACTAGCAAGAAGCTACTAAATGGATATATAACACCTTCACTGAGGCTCGAACTCATAACTTTCCAAATGGAAGTCCAACTCGAGTACCATTAGACTACCTAATCTTGATGGTATTTCATATCCACTTAGTAGCTTAAAATCATCACATTATTCTGCAAAATTGGGCAGAACTGGTCTCAGCAACAGCTTCCTAGACCAGTACTCCCATGATTGCTTTTAGAGCTTAAGACAGCTTCATCAGCTTGGTTACATGTATTGGTTTACTGTATTGGTTCCCCAATTTAGGTGGTTTGAGTTGCTTTAAGATTACAATTGGTTTACATGTTATGCACTACTGATTGTGGTCTGGAAATCAACAAGTTTGACCAAGAATAGAATGGACTGGAATTCAGCAATTATGGCAACTATTCAAAATTGCAGAAATTTAAAATGGATTGGAAAATATGACAACAATTCAATGCAAGCTGGACTGGAATTCTGCAATTATGGCAGAAATAAAAAATTGCTTCATTGAACAATTATGGCAACAATGACAGTGCATACTGGAATTCAATGCAAGCTGGAAATTGAAAGTGCAAACTGGATATTAAATTGCAAACTATCAATTTTTCATTACAATGCCAAACCATTACAATTTCTAACTACAAAGTTTTGCTAGAAGCACCACAATTACAATTAGGAGAACAACACACTTGATCCTCAACACTTCCTTTTCTTTTTTCATACCACAATACTCATTTACAATTAATTCTTTAACAACTTCGATTTCATTCCTCAAAGATACCACCATCTTCTTTAGATCTTCATGCTCACCTTCAATCCTCCTTGCACTATGATCATTCCAAAGGAAGAAGCCACAACCATTGCCATCCTATACATACAACTCAATTAACAAAATTACCCATAAAAAAAGTAAAAAATTACCACAATAAAAAAACCAATTAAAATGCCCCAAAAACGAACCCTAGCTTTAACTTTAATACAATTGAAAAATCAAAATTCATACAAAATTTCAATAAATACATACCTTCCATCTTTGACACCCAAAGAATTTCTTTCCCGATTCTCTACTTGTGCACATTGGAGCTTTCAATCCACAATTACAATAAACACTAGGCTCATACTCCATGTTTACTTTAACCCGTGATGAAGTTGAGGAAGATGACATCTTGGAGAGTGTGGCTTCGACGGAGGGAATGGAAACTGAAACTGAAATTGGGTCGTCGCCGACGGAGGAAACGGAAAACCCAGGCAGTCGTCTTCGTCTTCGTCTACAATACGTTTTTGAGATATGCAGAAAATGAATATTTTTTAAATAACCCAAATTCGTAGGAAACTGTTACATTTTAACGTCAAATAAGAGAATTTCGTACCTTTTATTTCCACGTCAGATTTTAACCGGAGCCACGTCATCTAAGCAACAGGGAAACCTGTTAAAAAGGCTAGGCGAACAATTTTTTTTGATTTATGAATCAAATAATCACTTATATAAGATTAGGGTGCGGGATGACATTTCGTTGTTGGTTCAGGGTGCTATTTGACACTTCACCCTTTTAGCTTTTATACTTTGTTTTCGAACAATTATTTTGGTCAACCGATATTAATGATAGGTCATCAATTGCTTAGGTCGTAAAACCAAAATATATAATTATTAATTTGAATTATGCAGAATGTATTTATGGAAATGAAAAATAAATACTTGCAGAGCTTCCTGAACAAGAGGCAGGGTCAAAGTGGTAAATTCGGGTTGGGGTGGTATCAGACTATCAGAGAAGAAAATCTGCGCGGCAGGCCTGAACTCTGATCTTCTCTTTCATTTTTCAAGACAAACATGCTTTTCTCTCCGCTCCTTTTATGCCCCTTCGCCTTTCCTCAACTATCATTTTCTCCCTCTTAAATACCAACTACCTTTTCCCCCCTTTCTTCCAAAACGCTACTCTAATGGCGATGGCTTCTTCTTCTTGTTTCTGCTCTGTTTTCTCCTGCTCCTTATTCGTGATGGTTATGGTGATGTCTGCCGCCTTCGTTGCTTCGCAGCCGCCTCTCGGCTCGGCGGAGCAGGAAGGTGTTTATAGGGTTTTGGAGGCGGTGAACCCTGAGATTCCATGGCGGTCTCTCTTCCCCGACGATCTATGCTCCTCCGCCCCGCACGGCGTCGTTTGTGATGTGTTTGATGACGGTGCCTGTCACGTTACTGAGCTGAACTTCGGGTACGTCTCCGACTATACACCAAACCCGCCCTGCAGCCCTAAAGCTACCATCCATTATTCCCTTTTCGCTCCCTTTACCCACCTCCGTAAACTCTTCTTCTTCCAATGCTTTACGGAAGCTGGTGTTTCCTTCCCGGATTTATCTTCCCTCGCGTCGCTTGAGGAGGCGGTGTTCGTGGAAAATCCGGCGTTATATGGTTCGATCAGTGGCGAGATTGGCTGTTTGAAACGTCTGAGGAGGTTTGTTCTCACCGGAACCAATGTTTCTGGAGAAATCCCGGTAGGGTTTGGCGATTTATACAACGTAGAGCAAGTCACTCTCGCGAGGAACAAACTTAGCGGCTATGTCCGGACAGATTTCCGGGCGTTAAACAGGCTGAGAGTCCTTGATCTGAGCCAGAATCAGTTCTCTGGCGCCGTCCCGGTTTCGATCGGAAACCTAACTCAGCTCCTGAAACTCGACCTGAGTTTCAACCAATTCTCCGGGAGAATCCCGGAGACTCTCGGCTTCTTAAGCTCGCTGGAGTTTCTCGATTTGAGCTACAACCGGTTCACCAATTCCGGGATTCCGGCGTTCATTCCGGCGATGCCGAACCTGAAAGAGGTATATCTGAGCGGGAATAACCTGGGAGGGGGGATTCCAGAAATATGGGAAAATATGGGGGGTCTTCAGGGAATAGGATTATCAGGGACGGGACTCGTTGGGAATATTCCAGTTTCCATGGGGGTACATTTGAGAAATGTGTGTTATTTGGGGTTGGACAACAACTATCTGGAAGGGACAGTGCCTGCGGAGTTGGGCGCTTTGGAGTTTGTGAACGAGCTAAATTTGGAGAACAATAATCTGAGTGGAAAAGTCCCATTTTCTGCCGAATTTGCCCTCAGGGTCGGTGAGAAGCTGAAATTACACGGCAACCCTCTCCTCTGCGTGGATGAAGGGCTAAGATCTGCTAAAGTCAGTGGCAGTTTGGGAAACATCAAATTATGTAGTAGACATTATACTCCCAAATTTGCCCCTCTTCCCAACTCCTCCCCAGCCTTACACTCTTCCACTCTTCTCATGATCATTGGGATACTCTGTCTCTTCTCTTAAGGGTAACTTCGTCATTTCACCTTTGGAACCCGGAATTTCCCGCCTCCCGGACCTGGGTATTTACAAGAACACCTCAATTCTATGAAATGTTGATAGGAAATTTTTGGATTTGTATTTTTTTTTGGGTAATTAATGTAATGATAAGTGCATATATATGAATGTTTGAGTGCAGAGAACTCTGTTTTGTTCATTTTCAGGTACAGTGATGATCAACTATAAAAGCTTTATAATAATATGGTTTCTAGGAAGTAATGGAGATGATGAATTTACAGACGGTACAAGAAGGGAAACAGTAATTGTTTTACATAAATAACATGAATTATGGTCTTAAGATTTTACAAATGTTGAAGTTTAGTCAGCGGAAAATTTGAAGAATGGGATCGGCGGGGATTATGGGGTTTGGCTCAAAAAAGCACGGGGTTTTCGCCGTCGTCCAGAGGCTTTGATGAGGTTGAAGACGGAGGCGTGTCGGTGGTTGTATCCTGTGCTTGATCGGCGGCGGTGGCGGAGCTTTTGGATGTTCGTGTGGAGCGGACGGAGCCGTCGGCGTTGAAATCCCTTGACTTCTTTCGCCGGTTCCTCTTCGGAACGTCCGGGTTGTCGGCGCCGGTGGGGTCCTTGATCTTGACGCCGTCGGAAGAGGCCTTGCTCCGCCTGGTCTGCCGTGGCTTGGAGGATTTGGGGGAATCTCCACCGCCGCCGCCGCCTGCGGCGCCGGCGGTATTGTCGTTGGAACAAGAATGGCGCCTGGGTTTCGATGATCCTTCCCCACCGGCGCCGCCGTCTCTGCTCTCCGGCCTCGGCGCACGTCGTCCTTTCGAATCTACAAAACATTCATTGTTTTCCAAATGAAAAATACAAACGTTACAGAATTCTTGACAAAATCAAAATGTTCAAACCAACAAAAAATCCATAACATAATAAAAAAAAAAATCTTCAAATGACACAATTTCTTCGTGTAATCAAAGTATCAAACCTTCAGACACCCATTTGATCTCTGGGTTCTCTTTGGAGTCCGTCGGAGGGCCTAACGGCGCAGATTTCAACGCTCCAGATCCTTTGAATTCATTCATCTGCACATTCCTCCATTCAAGATTGCCTCAAAAAACAAGACACAAATTTTCTTAACCAAATCAAAAAAACAAACAAACTTCATCGTACCCAGCTAGGATTTTCTGTTGCAGACGGTCCATCCCACCCAATATGAGCCACATGCTTTACATCTGTAGGCATCCCAATCTGTATTTCTGGTTCTTTTTCTTCTTCTGTATCATCAATTCAAACACCCAATTAACATATCACACATATTTTGGCTAAATATATACAGACTTTTAATTGAGACAAGATGTATTGAACATATAATATAACGCACCAAATATCTGATGGGATATGTATTTGATGCCCTTGAGGAGGCCTTTCACCTTTGTGCTCATCCTTCACCTCTAATGAACAATCCGACTGGAAATCATATACTATTCCCAGCTTTCTCTTAATCTCCTATCTGGAAAGTTTCCTAGAGGAATAAGAACATCATAAAACATTAAACGCAGCGAAACAAAAAAACTGGATCTTTAAATGTAAACCACAAACCTTCGCTAAGGAATTGGGGGGTTATTGAAACTGAGAATCTGATTGGGTTTTTGTGCGGAAGATTATTGTATGGAACAGAAGAAAGGTTGACTGGAATCTCCAGGTCGACTTTTCTGGGAAGGAAAATGATGTTAAAGCTGATGCTTCCTGATTTCAATGGCGATGGATAACAGGCTGCTGATGCCCGTTAATCCAAACCTGAAGCTCATCGATAATTTAGGAGTTTTGATAAATGATTAAATAAATAGAAGAGGCATAATGAAATGGGATTTGGTCGTACGAGGTTATCCCTCGCCATGAAAGCGGGTAGTCTGCCACGATGCTGAATATCAGGGGGCTGTCTTGTTCCATGTCCCACATGGTAGGACCTTTACCTAGCAAAGCTTATAATAATGTCCGATATATAAATAAAATATAGTAATAAAATATCTCATCCGTTTTATTTTTTGTGTCTGTTTTGATTGCGGAGTATTTTTTTTGGAGTGTACTCAAGATTTTCACCCTCCAACACAGTAACTAATTCCCTCGTTGAATTATAGATATATAGAACAACTTACATGGAGATTTAAAGTTTCTTTATACCCAAAGCAAAGGATCCGACACAGTAATTAATCCCCTCATTGAATTATAAGCACCTCTATTGGATATGACAACTTACATGGAGATTTAAAGTTTCTTCATACCCAAAGCTAAAGATCTGACACAATAACTAATTCACTCGTTTAGGGGTGTAAACGAGTCGACCCGAGCTCGAGCTCGATTTTGACATCAAATATGACCTGTTTGATTTTAAATTCTTGTTTTAATTAAAAATAAAAAGGCATATATTACCGTATTTCGTCTCCGTATCGTCGTCGTCGACAATCTTCCAGATTCCAGAGTTAGGGCTTGAGGGGAATGGGGACGGGAGTACGGGACTGTGAGAGTACTGGAGTAGGGTAATGGAGTAAAATTTTAATTATTATTATTATTATTATTATTATTATTAGGGGCTCGCGAGCGGCTCGTCGAGCCACGAGCATAGGATATGTGAGCTTGGCTCGAGCTCAATAAGTAAACGAGCCGCTCGAGCCGAGCTTTGACCGAGCCGCTCACGAGCAACTCGCAAGCGGCTCGGCTCATTTACACCCCTACACTCGTTGAATTATAGGCACCTCTATTGGACAGGACAACTTACAGGGAGATTTGCAGGGCGTTTGGTTCATTGTAATTTAACTGTAGTTGAATTGTAATTCAGTAGATGTCCCAATTACATTGTTTGGTTGGAGGGAATTGCAATTCATAGGGTACCCCCATGAATTGCAATTCAATGAATTTGAGAAAGGAAAAACATATGAAGTGACATTACTATCCTTGGTTGTTATTACTATTATTATTACACAAGGGTATTTTAGTCTTTATACCACTTATTTCCTTCTCAATTCCAATAATTCTATTTCTCCATACCAAACAACGTAATTTGAATTCCTACTTTATTCTCACCTTATTCTTTTTCCACCGAATTACAATTCATTTCCCCCATAATTCATTTTTTCCAACCAAACGCCCCGTTAATGTTTCAATCATACTCAAAACTAAGGATTGAACCTTTGACATATATGTATCTGTTTTGATCAATGAAACTTGTTTGTAGTCATTTTTAATTTAATTTTTCATAATATTAATATATACAATTTATATATTTAGAAACTACATTAGAATTACTATTAAACAAAAAAATCAAATTTAAAATAATTAAAAATTAATACAAAAAATAAACAAAAATGAAAGAGTTGGTTTGAGTAATAAATAGTAAACAAGAGAGATAAAATGGAACAGATGAAGTAACATTTTTTTTTGAGTAATAATTGAAACTCACGGCCACTATTCAATGGTATTCACTAGATAAATTCTATTTTTGTGTAATAACTCGCGAATCACATTGTAGAAATTAATCGTACTATGAATGTCTGTGACGATGAGCTTGACCAAAAGAGTATTGTCTATTTTTATTTCTTGTTATATTAAAAAAAGAGTTTATTGTTTTCAAAAAAAAAAGAGAAGTTTATTAGACCTATGTTTGTATATTATCAAAGTTATTCATAGTTGCAAAGGCCAAATTGGATGACAACATTTGTGGATTCTAGATGAACTACTGATTAGCGTTTGATCTTTTTGACAATAGACAATGATTCAAATGACGATTATCGAATTATGATTATTTGAACTTAATTTGATATTATTTAACAAATTTGAAAATGTCCACAAAGAAAATGGGGAAGGAATAAGACAACCTTCAAAGGCATTGCATATATCATCAGATATTTGTAATACAAAGTGTATGAATGGATTTCTCACATCACATTCTACAACAGAAATCTGTGAATAAATAAAGAATAAAAAATAATTATAATGCAAGAGTTAAAGAATCAACACAACATATCAGTGAAGCTGTGACCTCTGCAAAAATTATTGATTTTTGACCTGCAAAAAAAAGGGTATGCCATAAGATATAAGGGGGACACAGAAAAGACTAACAGTATACTATTATCTGTGCAATAAAACTCTGCCTTGTTCAAATATTTCTCGTGAACTTTCAGTGCCCCGTCTAACGCTTTCTTTGCATCCAAGTTCCCAGTTACTTCACCCATGATCTGAAGCTCGACCAAATTAGGGGCAGGAATTAGAAATCTATAATATGAAAGTATGCATATATGTGTGTGTATGTATACATAAGTCGAGATAGAGAGAGAGAGAGAGAGAGTACATTGACAACGTCATCTAGGCCCCTAGCCTCCTTTATAAGTCGCTTCTGCTTAGTCTCGAGGACAGCAGCAACAAGGAAAATAGCAAGAGCGTTTCTGTGGTCTGTCCAACCAGTTTTCGCATATTTCCTCTCAAATTTACCGTACTGCTTTAGCTCCTTGTTGCTTACTTTAACATTTTCGTTCTTGTGATGGGACTCCACATATGATGAATATATATGAGGATTATATTCCATCGCCCACATCACCTGAGAATTAGCGGCTAAATAAAAATGACCATATCCCACTACATAGATTTACGCTTCCTAACCAAATATAGAGAATATAGTAGCATTCGCACCTCCCAAAGATACAGTGAATCAACGAAAGATAACTCTCTGCGGAAGAGCACCATCAGCATACGAAAGGCAAATAGATAGTCCCCGCCATCCAATTCCTCTGTCAAACAAACTTATTGATTTTGCACTCTACAATCCATTTCATATTGATAGTTACATACTGGGATTAGCAACTCATACCAAGGTGACGATGAAGCTTTGGGTCAATGGTTTTAACAATTTGTGAAAGGGTATTCAGTTGAGATTGCACTCCCACGGAATTTACAGTGCACTTGAAGTTTTCTCGCTGTTCAAATAAACACGGGTAGGACTCAGTATCCAGGAAAGGAAAAACATAAGTGCTATAAGAAGAGAGAGCTTACATACACAAGATACAAAGAACATAATAAAACACTAAGAGGAAATGACGATAAGATACCAGTCTCCGCATTGCATGCTCAAAGCACCAGAATGCATCTGCTTCGTCTTCAAAAAGAATTACCATGGGAGAGCATATATCACTCATTCCTGATCAAAGAGAAAAACTATGAAAACCTTGCATAAATATATGTTGAGAGTGTATGTTTTGATATTAATATTTTACCTTGAACATAGCTAATATCTTTGTCCACCCAGGCATAGATGGCAAGGATATCCCATAGTTTTGCTAGGTTAGCTTCATTCTCATAAAAAACGAGACTACGGTCTGTGCGATGAACGTCCAAACCTGTAGTTACAATATGTATCTTCAAAGTGACTTCGTCATAAGGACCAATTACATAGGTACAAACCCATTAACAGTAAGGTGATTGAGTAAAACACCAACGGAAATCATAGAAGCAAATACTTCTATTATTATTACTATTCTAACTTGTCAATAAGTGATAAATGAATTGCCAGCATGAACTCCCTTTTTTCTTTTTTTTTTTTGTTTTTGTTTTTTTTGGGTGTAAACCACGAGGTGGTTCAGGTTTTTCTCTGTCCGTTTATCGGTCCAGGTCCACCCGACTAATCCCCGTTCGCTCCGGGAGGTCATGGGAGCTGGTCCAGGGGAATTGTGGCTTGTGGGAATTGAACCTGGGTTATCCCGGAGTTCTCCCCCACAAAGAGAGCTCATTTGCCACTTGAGCTACCACCCCGGGTTCCTGCATGAACTCCCTGGGGAGGCTTGTAGTTAAAAATGGAGCTTGTATGTCACCAAGGTATCAGAGAGACTCAACTTCCAATATTGAAATTATACTAGGATAAAAGTGCTTGGGTTCATGTTCAATGGAGATTAGGTTCTAGGTTTCACCGGGGGCGGAGGGCACGGGGGAATAGTAAAGCCCAAACTGCATCTCGAGTTATTTAGAAAACAAAGTATTCATACGAATATGCATAAACACTGGAGATGAACAATATTCTGGAACACCAAGAAATATAATAAATGTGAGCAAATACAAACCAATTTGGCTTAAGCTCAGCTTCCATTGGATCAGTGTCTTGTCAAAAGAATCATTATTGCCTTGTGAGACACCTGGAACTGTAATGTTTTCTAAGTTTTGCCCATTCTCACTGATTGCTGTCATTAATCTTCCACTACCAATGGTTGGTTCTATCTTCTTACATTCAGCCTTCCATGCAGCATATTTCTCCCTAGAGACTCACGTTTTAAGATATTTAGTCTACTTCAAAATAAAATGGATAGACAAGCAAATAAAATTATGCATAACGGTGTGAAAAATAAAAGAAACAAGACATCATAAGTTGAGAAATCATATACTTAGATACTGAATCATAGGCTCTGGTAGAGAAATCATAAGTTCAGAAGTAGAAAGTAGCTGCTTATCCATAATCCACCCAACCAACCAATTTAGGAGTGATTTTGACATTTTGTTACTGGCGGTCTGGTATCGTACTGTTCAAAATAAGCTGAAATGAATTCATTTTTACCTCCTCTGTTGCTTGAGTTCACTTCGCTCCTCAAATGTGCTACTGGGATCAAAACAACCCAACAAGAATTGCCATACTGCTCCTTTGATTGAAGGATGAATACCCTAACATGTAAAAGAAATAAACGAAACTGATCAATGCCTGTTCAGAATACTTAATAATGGACAAGCCTGTGAAGAACGGTTAACAAAAGAAATGGTTGCTCCAACTGCATTGAAAAGAAACTTTGCGAGCATGAATCTGCCAATCTAGCTCTTAAGTACATGATCTGAACCGCTCAAATTCATTAGCTAAACAATTTTATTTTTTTTAAAGATTAAATAACTGTTAACAATGACTCTACCCCTCGTTGGATCCTTCTAAGAACAGCTGCTATATCCAATTGGCCATCTAGAGAGAATGCATCATTCCATCTTCTCTGACTAAGGGTTTTCCCTGCCTGTTATAAATAGCATAAACAAGCGTGAATTGGAACTGTAAAAGACACATAACAACAATATTGAATACAATAGGATAGGAAAGGCATTAGAAACAAAAGGAAAAAACCAATATCTTAAACAAATGACAAGGCAAACTTCAATGCTTCAGTTCAAGATGCATTCACTTCTAGAAAACAGCTTTGCCAGGTATAAACTACAATCATATAAGATTTTCCTGCTTTCTGATAACAAAACTGATAGATGCTAAGGGCATAGAACAAATTTAATAAGCCAAAAAACCTAATAAATACTACAAATAAGAAACTTTCTCAATGATCACTGCATGTCTGCATCCAATTAACTTAACACTCATACACATCATTAAAAACACTTATATAAACAAAGAAAATGTCCAAATGAAATGTAATAAACATGGCAAGATCAACATACCCTTGTTTTGAAACGGGTCTTGGGGACATCATCCTGGCATTCTGGTCTAACAGGGAAATATGATTCCAAATCCTCAGAACCCGAATTCCTCCCAACACAATTCACTGCCGCTCCAAATTAAAAAAAAAAAATAAAATAAAATAAAAAATCCCCAATTAATATATCATCCACATTTCGAAATTCAACAATACTATAAAATGGGATGTGGAAAAAAAAATAATAAAGATTCAGTCTTTGAAAGGCAGTGAACCCACCGCAGCCGTTAGAGGCACAGGAGGAAGAGTTGCCCATCCAAATTGATAAATTGATTGAAATGTATTAGTCTTTGATGCTTTCTTCAATTTATCGAAAGATCGCGACGTTTCCCAGTTTCCACGACGGTGATAGCACGGATTTGACTGGCTTCGGAAATCGATGCAAGTTTTGCAGAATGACAAAAGGAATGTATTGGTATTTGGTAGGGATGGTGGTAAAGCTTACGCTCTACTCTTCCGATGACGTAATGTGATGAGATCACATCGTCGCTCCCGTTCGATTTTTGCCAAATCCGTGACTCCTCCGTAACAGATTACGGAGTATGTTTATTGCTGTTTTGATGTATATATATATATATATATATATATATATATATAATAATAATAATATAATAATATGATATATAAGTATCCCTTATTTTCACCCTATAAGTTAATCTAAATCTAAATAATGTATTTTATACAATTAGTTTGGTTGACATGACTAATTGTACACTCTCGTCTTTAAGAGAGATTATAGTTTGAACTTCTTTTCGTAAGTAAAAATTAATATGATCGACAGTTTATCCGTTAATTGGGACGGTCCAGTGCAAACAAGAATGGTACAGACTTAAAATGCCTCCTATGTTTCATCTTAAGTCTCATACAATTAAGACTTGCTTAGGACACCTCGTGATCTGATAAAAAAAAAATAATGTACTTTATACGTGTTAGGATAATGAAATTTTTGAGGTAAGATAATGTATTTTATGTGTTAAAATAATAAAATTTATGAGGTAAGATAATATATTTTATAAGTTAGAATAATGTATAATGTCTTTTTATGTGTTAAAATAATGAAAATTTTGAAATAAAATAATATATTTTATGAGTTAAAATAATATACTTTAATGTGTTTTTTACCGTAGTCCACGCAATAATGATCAGAACAACGAACGCAAATTATATCGTGCACCGCAGTGCATAATCGATTATGCACTACGCATCAAAACGACGTCGTTTCGTTTAATGAAAATAAACGACATGTGTTTCCCGCTGTTCTGCACCCTTCTGCAAAAAGTAACTCTGTTATTCAGTTTCATTTTGTATACACTGCAGTTTCAGTTCAACATAACTACAGTTTCATTTCAATATAACTATAGTTTCATTCGATATTTATAGACTCAAATATGTGAAAATGTTATTTAATTTTATTTGATATACATTATAGTTTTATTAAAACACAACTACATGATCATTTTGATATAATTACAGCTTCATTGTACAATATACGCTCAAATATGTGAAATGTTATTCAGTTTCATTTTATATACACTGCAGTTTCATTTTACCACAACTACAGTATCATTTTGATATAATTGCAGTTTCATTTGATAATATAAAAATAATACGTGAGACAATGTCGGTTTAGATATACTGTAGCGTCAGTTGATTATTAACATACAAAAAATGCACGTTCCGTTAAAACTAACGGCGCACCGTTCTTTACTTAAAGAAACGGCGCCATTTTGACTACGGTGCACGTGCCGCGGTCCACGATATAACGACCCAATGACGAATGAGTGGGCCAAAACATAGTTGAAGCTAAAATTATAATGGGCCAGTGATGAATTATCTTGGATCGTTGAAAAGTAACAGCCCGGCCCAGATTCAGTATATATATATAAGTGCAAAGAAGCACCGCAAAACCCTAGCGCTACCCTCCCATCCAAACCCTAAATCTCCGCATTTTCCACCGGGAATAGCTCGCTCTGCGCCTCCGCATAAACCGGCGCTCCTGCTCATTCCAGTAGGCGAAAATGGTGAGTTTTTACTGAAGTTATTATCTATTGGTTATTTCTGTGTGCAATTCTGATAATGGTGTAATTGATTATATGTTCGTTCTTATGCTATTTTGCAGCCGTTCAAGAGGTACGTTGAAATTGGAAGGGTCGCTCTCGTCAACTACGGAAAGGACTATGGAAAGCTCGTCGTCATCGTCGATGTTATTGATCAGAACAGGGTAATCTTATTTGTTTTGATATATATTCCGTCTTTGCCTGAATTTGCTTTGCAAAGTATTGGTTGTAATGGGCTTATTTTCATTTCATGTTTCTGTTGATTTTAGCTGAAAAGCTAGTTTATTTATAGTTTGGCCTGTGATGGGAAAATATATATTTGCCTACATTGTCTGATCATATTTACATGACAGAGATGTGTATATGATCTGAGGCCATGTCTAATATATGCTATTATATGTTCTTCACTGGGATTTTAGAATCACTGATAGATTTGGGCATAGCATTGTGTAATCAATTATTGTATTGTATTGATGTTTAAGAGTAACATGGCCTATATGTGCTATAGTTAGTGTAGCTTTATTAGGGTGCTGATAATGCTATATACGTATCTTTCCATTTGCTTGTTGGGAGTTTAAGTTGTTTTGTTCTTCTTTTCAAATTAATAGGCACTTGTTGATGCCCCTGACATGGTACGGAGCCAAATGAACTTCAAAAGGCTTACACTCACAGATATAACAATTGACATAAAAAGGGTCCCGAAGAAGAAGACTTTGATTGCTGCCATGGAGGCTGCTGGTGGGCTCATGTTCTTAAACTATGGGTCTATTCTTTTCTATTATTGTTATTTAATTTATTTATGTTCTATTTGCTCCCAGATGTCAAGAACAAGTGGGAGAACAGCTCCTGGGGCAGGAAGTTGATTGTGCAGAAGAGGAGGGCTGCTCTAAATGATTTTGACAGGTTCAAGATCATGTTGGCAAAAATCAAGGTGTGTATAGATTGTTATGTATTTAATGAATCATCTTACCTACTCTGTTCAAAGAATCTAAATTTCATTGATCAAATTGAGTTCATATGTTTTCTGCTGCTCACCTTTTCCAAGCTTTCGCATAAAATATTTGGGTAGTTTTATTTTGTTGTCCTAGTTAGAGTAAAATGAGGCATATTTTTGTCTCTCCTTCAACAAACTCTGACATGCTCTTTGGTCAATATTTGCAGAAGGCTGGAATTGTGAGACAGGAGCTTTCAAAGCTTAAGAAGGAGAGCACAGCCTAAAATCCATTTTCTTATAATATTGATGTTCTTATATTAGGTCTTCTGCCTTGTATCAAGGATTGTCTCTTTAGTTTCTGCTTCTCTTGTATCGAGAAAGACACAATTTTGTCATATCATTCATCATATGCATTTTTGGAAACTTTTTTGCGGTGGATCTTATGTTGATTGTTGAAATATTATCAAGCACCATAAAATTAAGTTTGTTTGGCATTTGGTTTCAGTGATATACTCCAGCAATGTGAATGGTGTAGTATAAACACAGTTTGTATCTCTATAATGATTGAATTTGTCACCTACATGCACCTATAGCAGCTGAACACTCTTCTTGCTTTTCGTCATTACATGTCTAATTTGTGGAAAGATTTACCTTTTAAAACAGGGCATAAAATGCACAAAAAAATATTCATTCTGTCTCATTTTGTGTCTAGTTATTAATAGAGGTTTAATCGAAGTAAATAAGCTAAGAATAAACATGAAAGAGTTATGACCAATGAAAGGTGAAATGGAACAGAGTAACAAATTTGTTTATGGCTAGCTTCATTCCATTTTTTTTTTGTTACTTCATAATATGGTATTTAGTCACAATGTGAAACTATTTATTTATTAAGAGGTCTCAAGATCATTTACATTGTTATATTTGAAAAGGAAGCATATTAAAAGCTTACTTTGGCACTAGGAACAGGTACTTAATTCAACAAGAAACATGGTGAGATACATTCAACTTTGATGTCCTGTCAGATTATAGGTAAAATACACAACATTTTTGATACATAAAACAATATTTATTACAACAATACATGAGAGCTCTTGTGCTATACTCAAATTGTTTCCTTGGATGAGTTCTCTAAGCGCATCGCAATGGCCACAAAACGAGACATTGATACGCAACAGAAGAGGCTCTGGTTGCAGCAGAGACACATTTGAAATTTGCATTGAACATGTCCACCTTAGAGAAAGAGGTATTTCTCTTAAAAATGTATCTACTTCCTTATCGAGAGGAACTCAAAGCTCCTAAAAGCATCATCCCGAGTGCTCTTTGAGAGTCCAGTACGGAAGAAGGATGACGGTTTACCTTTGCCATCGGGTTTGAGTTTCTGCGTGGAAGACAAACGGCCAATGCTCGACACTACTCTGCTAGATTGACCATCAGTAGCTTCAGCAGAAGAACTTGGTCGGGTGGTTGAAATCGCAGCTCTCTTTGAAGAGCTACCATTTCGGGAAGTTTGGCCTTTATCTGAATTGGCTTGCTGTAGATAATAATTACAACCACTTTTAGTACATGTGGACGTGATAACTAGACTAGATGGAAGACAGAATTCTTACCATACAAAAGATAGCAGAAATTTTTCTCCCCATAAATTAAAACATCGAGGAGACTTACCACATCTTTAGACGAAGGTACATCATCTGATTTGTGTCTCGAGTGATCACCATGCCGACCAGAACCTGAAGCATTTCTCCTAGAAAATTCTTCGACAGCACCAGAAAACCTGTCTCGAATATCTAGACCTGCAGAATCAAAATTTCATGCAATGGTCAAAATTTCACACAAAGGTCCAGATATTTGGTGAAATGGGCAAAGGTCAAATATCGAAAGATTAGATTTTGGTAAAGGCGAGATAACATTTGGTGAGTTTCAAGAGAAACACCTGCTGTCTTTCCCGGTCCTTCTGCAGATGGCTTAGCACTTAATCCAATAGGATTCTGGCAAAACGAAAATGCAAAGTAAAACCGACATACATAGGCAAATTTAAGCAACAATTACAGGAAAAAAATTTATGAGCACCTACTCGGCCTCTGGAACTGGCGCCAATCTGAGGATATTTCAAAATTGTCCAATCAAAAACATAGTCAAATTGATAACCTGTGGAGATAAGACGGTCAAGATGCAGACACCACAACTCACGTCTGTTGGACTATTAAAAGAGAACAGAGTCACATTTTCCCCATACCTTCACGAATAAACAAGTCTCGGAAAAGCCGTTTCAGATAAGAATAGTCAGGTCTGTCTTCAAAGCGCAACGATCGACAATAGTGAAAATATGAAATGAACTCGGAGGGGTATGATTTGCACAGCACCTGTTTCCACAATTATCAAGTATAATCATTTAGTAAACCCAGCCCATAAAGTCCGAGATATCAAGCACCCGTTGTTGCAATCGAGAGTCAAAATAAAAGGTGCCGTCAAAATTCAGAAATATTGACAAGTTTAGATATGTGCCTATATTGCGTTTTTCATTGGCATAGTAAGTACCTCTATAGGAGTTAACATCTTCTTCTCACTGATTTTGTCATATTTCTGCTTTTTAGTACCAGCTTTTAATCCCTGCCAAGGAAGGCTGAAAGGCAAGAAAAAACAATGCATAAAGCTCTGTAGTTATGTCAATAAGATCAAGATATACATTGGGAGGAGAACTCCGGACAAGAACGAAGAATTCTCAGAATCCAACCTTCCTCTGAGGAAGTACATAAGAACATAACCCAATGACTCCAAATCATCCCGTCTGCTTTGTTCTGTCAGGAAAATGAAAACAGAAATTCCGGCAGTAATTCATAAATGCACCTTTTAGTAAATCAGGTAAAATCTACCGATAAGATGATAACTCAAACGACTTGTCTAGGAAGTAAACTCACCAACGCCAAGGTGTGTATTGACACTAGCATAGCGAGCTGTGCCTGTCAGATTTTTGTTTTCCCTGAAAATTGAATAGGGAAAAACATTTCAAATGATGTTGTTACGAGACAAATTGCCCAAACTTGGAGAAAGAAAGAGAGTGCAGCAGCAACGTACATACCCCTTCCCCACAGTAAACATCAAGGCCAATATTTAATGACTAATGATCTATATATATAGGGGATGGGTTCAGGTGAGAATACCTCCCCCTTAAAAAGTGTGGATACATCCACACCCTCTATCTTGAGAAATCAAAGGCTAAGATCTTAGTATCTTACCATTACTAAACTTTCAAGTTTGCAATAATTAAAAAATGAACCCCGCTCTTAAAAGTTTTCAATAATTATAAAAGAGTAAATACCCAAAATGGTCCCTTGATTATAACATAATTCACAAATAAGTCCTCGAATATCAAGTTTAGCAAATTAAGTTCTCAACTATTCAATTCTTACTCAATAAGTCTTCAACTATTCAATTCTTACTCAATAAGGTCCTCAACGAAGGACTGATTTGTGAATTATTGAGTAAGAATTGAATAGTTGAGGACTTAATTGGTAAAATTGATAGTTGAGGACTAATTTGTGAATTATGGCATAGTCGATGGACCATTTTGGGTATTTACTCATTATAAAATTGACCCCGTGTTTTTTATTAAAACCCTCGACCATTTTTGAACCTTTATGGATGGCTGAGATCAGTCCTCACTTTTTTATAGGAGGACCATGTTCTCATTTGATCCTGCCCCTATATATATAGCATACACACATGTATTAATATATCTTGACTGATTCAAACATTGCACTAATCAAAGAAAGTTTTTTTCTTTTTTATTTTCCTATTTCTTTCCTAGAGTATCAACAAACGATGTTTGCTTAGACTCAAATTCTGCAATTTCTGATCATTAACATTAAAGAGTTAATAGCGTCAGACCTGTATGGAATATGCTTATGAGTCTGGAGATCCTTATACTTTTTAGCAAGGCCAAAGTCTATCGCATAAACCTGCTCAAGTATTTGAACTGTTAAAATCCGGCTATCAAGCCTAAATACATGCTAAAATCTTTACAACGTATTTATTACTACATTTAGAAAATCTAAGCCATATGTAAGGAAAAATAAAAAAACCTGATTTGCTTTGCGACCTAAGCCCATTAAGAAGTTGTCTGGCTTTATATCACGGTGTAGAAATCCTCTACAGTGCATGTATTCAACTCTATTAATCTGAACACGAAACATGATAGAGTTGTAACCTAAAAACAGATAAGCAACAAACCAAGACACCAAGTAGACATCATGATGTAGATCGAGAGTATATAGCTAATATTACGTACTAGTTGATCTGCAAGCATCAAAACGGTTTTTAGCGAGAACTTCCTATTGCAGTAGTTGAAGAGATCTTCCAAACTTGGACCAAGAAGATCAATGACCATAACATTGTATTCCTTGTCAACTCCAAACCATTTAAGGTTGGGAATACCGGCTTCATCAAAACGTCAAAAAAATGAAAAGATCAGCTCCTTATCTAGCTTCAACTTCCAATTCATAATTTTGTATGTGCTGCTAATTTAACATTATTAAACAAACATTTCAAACTTTACAGTCTTCATTAAAACCTTTTTTTTTTAATGTATTATTTTTTCTTCATTAGACGTAAACTATCAACATGAATCTCATTTGCAATATTAATTGGACATTACTTCACCAGTGGCATGTGGCCAAGAAGGGAGAAAGAAAGTTGATAATGAAAGTGCAAAGATAACAAGAAAAGGAGAGAATGAGAACATACTTCCTCCCTGGAGAAGCGAATATATTTTTGATTCATAGTGAAGCTGTGGGTGTTTGGTCTTGACTGATTCCTAGTAAACACAGCAATAACAAAAACTCAAAATAAGGAAACAAATAAACAATTTATCCACATTAATAAACAGACGTTACTCTTGCATTATGCACTCTCCATGAAATGTTCTTGCCGTCAAAAAAAAAAAATATAAAGAAGCAGCACACAACTTAAATATATTGTGTGTACAAAAGGTAAGTACAAACACTACAAATGCCCGTTCATCATCCATCAACGTGAAGAAACGATAACGCATTTTCTTAGATACGCCTGTATATTGGCGTCTTCTGCACCGTTTAGACACTTTCTCCAAGAAAATGAATTTTACGAAGTAAAACTATTTCAGTACAAGTGTTTAGCTAAAACACCAAGACGAACAATGATTCAGTCATCAACATTCGATTGTGTAGCCTTACATAAACTGCTGGAAAGAAATTGTAGCAACATTTAGAACATGTGCATCTCTGCAACTTATCATGGACATCATGAAATGAACACACAATCTAACAGCAACTACTTTCATGCTAAGACATAAAAGAAGAAAATGAGCTTACCAACTTGATGGCAACTTCTTCTCCACTTTGTACATTGATACCTACAGATAACCAACAGCAAACACCACAATCATTTACAAACAATTAAAAAAAAAACTAGTATGAATTTAGATGAAAACTGTGGTAAATTGTGGGCAAGAAAGATGAAAACTTTCTGGAAATAGAAGACCATAATTTGGGTACTGGAAGTAGATGAAAAGAAGCACAATTACTGAGCTAAATCAAATGAAATGAAACTGAACAGAAATGCAACAGTGAAAGACATACCTAGATAAAGCTCACCAAAAGAGCCACTCCCAATCTTCCTCACCATCTTAAACTTGTCGCCGATAAGAGCTTCCATGGCGATTAAAGAACCGAGTTTCGAACAGTATATATATAGAACAAAATTCAACGCCCAAAACCTCGATTGCCACTCGGATTTGGAGTTACAAAACTGGTGAAAATACAGAACGGTCAAATCCTATAACACTCCAACAGGTAGAAACACAATGATCAACTGTACTACTCAACCAAAAACCAAAATGAAATCACCAAAAAGAAACCTAAGATTTTCGATCGAGAAAGCTGCTGTATTGTTCAACTACATCCTTCGATTATCTATTCCGAAACGCCAAAATCGAAATCCAAACCCTCAATTGACGAGCACGACCGGTACTACTTGATCAATGAAAAGGCAATCAATTTACGAATCAACAACGCAAACAATATATATCTATCATCAGTTGCTTAACAGAGAGATAGAATAAAAGCAATCCAACAACTCTGGCGTGAGGGAGAACTGAAAAAGGTAAGACCTTTGAGGAGAAAGAGAGAATTGATGGAGTGAAATACGTGCGGGTGTGCTGTATACAGTAGCCCCTAAAAAAGGAAACCAAGTGGCAAAGATACGCAGTATTCTTTGAATTCTTTCCTGTTTTTTTTTGGGTCAATTTTTGTAGGAATTACGATGATGATGATGTTGTATACTAACTAATTAGTTTGTATTTGCTTCAAAACTGTCAAACTCAACTAATCCGACATGCCAAATTAACCAATTCATCATCTGATGTGGAACCAACCACATTTGTAGCAATGTTAATGGGGCTTTTTGATCACAATGAACGGAACAAGCCAAGAAAAAGGAGAAAGGGAAATGCAAAGAGGACAAATATTATAGATTGATTGAGCTTAATTATATGACCAAATCAAATAAATCAATGTACCTTGTGCATGCTTACATGTTTGTTATCAATACAAACTTTGTAGAGTAATATGTAGTATATTTTCCTAAAAGTTGAAGTGACATTGAGGTAAAAGTTAAAATTGTCTAGTACTACAGATTCAGTAAAAGTTATTTAAGGATGAAACCAAATCATGAGGTTATACTTGTCTCGACTCTGGATTATGTTTAAAAACAGTCATTAATGAGTTGGAGGACTGGGCATGAGTTCCCACCTCGAGAGGTCGTATTCGATGTCAACTAGTTGTACTTGGTTAGTTTACATGGTCATCCCAAGTAATCGAAAGGACTCAAAACATGCCATGGCAGTTACAAAGTAAATGTAGTTAGGTTAGTTATAGTATTTGATTTTTCCTTAATAATGGACGCTTAAATGATGTTGCTTTCTCTCTTAGCTTAAAGTCACTTAAGGGTGAATTTAAATCATGAGGTTATCGAGAGTGTTTAGAAACTATCATTGACAGATTGGAGGACTGGGCATGGGCTCCCACATCGATAGGTTATACTCGGCTTCAACTAGACGTATTTGGGTGGTTCACCCGATAAACCCAAGTAGTCGAAAGGACTCAAAACGTGACATGGTAGTTATAAAAGTAAATGTAGCTAGTTCTTTGATTTTCTCTCAATAATGGAGCGCGCTAGGCTTAAATGATGTCAATTACTCTCTTAAATTCATGTGCAATGATTAGTACAATACATACATATATATATATATATATATATATATATATATATATATATATATATATATATGAGTATAATAGACATATAAATGCCCAGCCCATTCGAGGGGAGTGTACTACGTTCATTTTTCTAGTTATTCTAAAGCAATAAAAAAGATTATTGTTGTTCTCGGATCACTTCTCGTTTGTAATATTCGTTTGTTTCTTGACCCTACCGAGTGGATGTGTTGATTGTGAACCTACCGGCCCTAGACTATCTAAAGTCGTAAAATCAACTACCTTGATTTTTGAAACGGAATGAAAGAGATAAATTACAAGATGTATTTCAAACATCTAAATGTTTTTTTTTTTTTTTTTTTTTAGGTACATTCACAACTGGGCTAATTTTGTACTCAGTAAGAATCAAACCTAGCATTGTATATTTGTATGTAGCTGCCAATATAATATATTAGAAATATTAACACTTTTTGTGTGATAAACCAGTTGACTTATGTCCCGAGATGAATAGAAGCTAAGTTATCTAGAATTTGGTGCAGGTGAAGTCCATGCAGAAGCAGTGTACAAGCTGGTCTCCTTCCACCCCAGCCTTAGGGTTCCATCTCCTTGTACAAGGCTATACCCATGAGTCGGAGGGAACATGTTGAGGATGAGCTGAGCTTGAGCTATGGAGTTTCTGCTCATCCCCACTTGCAAGAACCCATTCCCTAAAAGCTCACTCCTCCACTGCCTATACTTGTCTTCCCCGCTCCGAGCCGGCCCGCCGATCGCCAGGATGTTGTTAATCTCCCGCCGGAGAAGGCAGTGCTCCACCGTGTGCCGCCCCCCGTCGTCGCTCGGCAGCAGCGCTCCGAGGGAGTCGAACACGGTGGAGTAGTAATGGAGCGACCCGACGAACCGGTCCAGGAACGAACCGCCGTGCACGATTTCTTGCTCCACTAGGGTTATCACCGTCGGCGAGAGCTGCCGGAGGAGCCGCATGGTTTTCCAGTCCGGCCCGGTGGCGTCGTATAGAGAATGGTGGAGCCAGTGGACGGCGACGGCGTCTCCCCGCCGGATTTGTAGCGCGGAGACATCGTCGATCTCCCCGAATTTCTTCCCGACGGGGTGGAACTCGAAGGATAACCCTAAGCGTTTAGCGAAGCTGGAGAGATGTTTTCCGGTCTCGACTAGGGTTTCCATGGAAGTCCCCATTCCGGTCATCTTGAGATGCGGCGGCGGGCCCTCCACGCGCGTGGCGAGGATGTGGAACAGCGCCGGCCATTGCAGGCCCTGCATGATGTCGAGATCGACGATGTGGACACGCGCGTGGCCGTGGAACGCCTCGAGGATGGCCTGGTTGGAGGTGAAATGAGCGAACTTTATGAAAGGGGAGACATTGTTGAAGATTTGGAAAGATGAATGGAGAGCTTTTAGGTTTATCAATGGCGCGCAGATTCCCAGCCATGAATTGATAACTCTGCTAGACATGGCGTTGGCGAAATACGCCACCACTCTCTCCGCGCAGGAGGCGCCGTACGGGGACGCCATTTGCGTCAGCTCAAGGAGCATCCGGTGAGCTTCGCCGAGATTATCGACGGAAATCGCCACCGCGCACTCCAGGAGGAGACTCATCAGCCTCATACCGCCATCATCGTCGTCCTCCCCGCAGCTCCGCCGTCTGCTCTCTTGGCAGCCTGCGGTATTAGAAGCCTGAACCGCCTCGCCGCCGCGCGGCGGCGGCGGCGCTGCAACTTCTTCACTTTCCGGCAAGTCCTCAATCAGCTGCCGCGTCACATGCTCCACCCACTGGGATAGCTCCGCCGCCGCGCCATTAGAGCTCGCACCACCAACAATAGAGATTCCCATTTCACTCACACTATCACCATAGCGGTGATGATGATCCCATAACTGTTCATGTTGAATCACTTCAAATCCTCCTCCTTTCATCATCAAACCAAGGAAAAACTCCTTTTTGAGCCGATCAGATATAAGCAAATTATGCTGATTTACCTGTCTTTTGTTGATTAAGGTCACAAAGTTAATTTATGTGTCTTTTGTTGGCTATGACCACAAAATTGGTTTATATAACTTTTGCCGACTAAGGTGACAAGGCTGGTTTATGTGTCTTTTGAAAGTTGCAACAAGGCTGGTTTATGTGTTTATTGACAACTAAAGTAACCGAGTGAACTTACGTACCGGATAGTGATTGTGAATTTTTCTGGTCACTCGAAAAGAACGGATCGTGGAGGATTAGTGGGATGAAAGAATATAATGGAGGAGGCCATATATGAAGGTAAAGGTGCAGAAAGCTAGCCAAGAAGAAGGTCGTCACAAATGCAACAAATATGAGGGTGAATTGTTTATTTGGGGATGGAGCGGCCGGCATGGCACAGACAAGTAGATGAAACAAGTTGCTAATATCCAAAACCACGTCAAATTATTATGATGTTTGAGTATTTTACTAAATAAAACAGATAATTTGGTTTTATCTGTTCAATGGTTGAAGTCGTGATAGACCAGATGTGTATGCTTGGTCTCCTGGTCTGCAGGAATATAATATCGAAATAATATGCAGCAGACTATATAGATTATAGATCATAGTGGACCATACTATTGGAGTGTATGTATCACGGACAAATGTTGAGATGTGCTTTTAGAAAGTATTACTTTCAGAAAGTATTATTTTTCTTACATAATCTGTATTGATTGGATGAAAGTATAAGGAATATATAAGAGAAAAAAAGTTGGTCATCCATACTATAACCAATGATCCATTACATACTAGCCAATAAATTAAAGAGTAAAATGGAGCAAGTAAGAATAACTTCAAATTAATCAAAAATATATATAACCACTACAAGAAAATAGTAAATATATATCTATAAATTTAGCTATCTGTAACTTAAATATCTACCGGTATCAATGTATTTGATAAATTAAATACATATTATTGTTGGTTTTGACTTGCCAACACCGGTGAGAAACAGAATATATATATAGCAATGTAACACACTTAGGAAAATTGAAAACAATTGAATGATGTTATTGCCATAGCGAATAAAAGATCTTCAACCCTTTATAAGTCCTTTTTCAAGGCATTTATAGAATTATAGGCCTATGACTTTAATATAGTTGTTGGACTAAAATAGGAAAGTAACATCAGAAATCACAAACCATTAGTTACGTACAAATTTGATTAACTTCGGAAATAAGTAAAATGCTCTCTTAGACGGCGCTATCTCTAGAAAGAGATCAGATCCTCTAGTACATTGTACCTTCTATAGGTGTGCTGCAACGTTTCTCCCATCAACGATTAGAAATGAGAAATGGGCAAATTTCAGTAATTTACTTACTGATTTTCTATAGATAATTTTGAATTTTTTTTATTGTAATGAATTTAGTTTTGAATCGATTTGTTAAAAATGTGTAATATTCAATTTCCCATTCAAACTATTTGCTAAATGAATTTCAGGACAGTTGAGCGGACTACTGATACAACTGTAAGATACTTTTGTAAGAGTGTGTCATGTTAAAGAGTTTTGAGACAAGCTTTTCTCAAGTAAAAGTCAAATTTTGTTACCACGACTCGAATTAAATTCGACTTAATTTCATAATGATAGAGATACTAGATCAATACCTACCGAAAAAGAATTGTTCCACATCATGCTGTCATTGTGGAAACTCTAATGTGAGCATGCCAGCTGCATTATCCAAAAGAAACAGCCATGGACTGGCAATTGGCATCCTACAAAGCCATGTCCACTTGTTGTAGTGGTTAGCTGAAACAAAGCTTAAGGTCCGGCCAGACGGGCCAGTAAATAACATCCTAGCTTCTGCAGGACTGTACAGGTCATTTACAGAAGTAACACAACTGTGATTTTCTGTTAATTTAGTAAGGTTAGAAGTACTCCAAAAGCATTGAATGTATCTCACAAACAGACCCTTTTTCCTTGACGTTAGGCAACCACAATAGTGATTTTTGGATAGGTTTTTGAGGTGAAAATGCTTATGTGGAGGAGAGAGAAGAATTCAGCTCCCCTACAATGAGAGGTTGCTCCCACACTCTGGTGAGACTCGATCCCTGGTCATTCTTCCAAAGTTTCACCTCTGTGACCAGTAACACTAATATATTGCAGATCCTAAAAGTGGTCAAAAGCTGGATTTCCAATTAAAAACCTTAGGCCCGTTTACTAACGAAAACTGTTTTCTAATTTTTCAGTTTTCATTCTATGTTTTCCATTCTCTGTTTTCTGTTTTAAAATCTTATTTACTTTAAATTTGACTTAAAGTGCACTTTTGGGTAACATCTTATAGGAAGTAGTTCAGATAATGACAGACTTGGCAGTGCATGTCTTCAAGCAAAGCCGGCAAAAGCAAGACTGATGAGCAGAACCAACTAAAATGAAAATGACCTTAACAAACAGTAAACTGTGAAATGTGAAGTAGTCTCTGCTCTGTCACAAATTTTGTAAATTTAACAGCTAGAATTTGATTTCTATACTTGTCTTACACTGAAACTGTGGCTTTCAAACATAGAGAGAGAGAGAGATGGTTTTCTAAACACAGATTATTGGCGCTAAGCTATCCACTAAAAGAAAAGCATTAGTGCGATTTCGGCCCAGGGAGATTGACCATGGTGGATCATGGATGCTTTATATGCAGCGGCTTTTCTGAACTTCGTTTTGGCATCAAAACTGTCACCGGTTGAGTTCCCGAAGAAGTGACTCACTTGTCTAGAATTCACATTGGTTTTAAGGGTTTAATGCAACTCGACAACAACACGTGGTTTGGAGAGCAGAGCACGATTATCTGTTCTTGTTCTGTGACTCCGAATGTTCAAGCTGAGGAGGCAAGAGATCCATAACGCTACCTTGCGATTGCTGACTAGACGTCTCCGATGTTTCTGACTCGTCCTCTGTTGATAGAAACACGGGCATGAGATATCGATACTCTATTCCTAGCAACTTCTAGAAAAAGCATCACGGCATTATAGCAAAGCGGGAAAAAGAAGGTTGATGTGTGCATTACATTGTAGAAACAATAGAGAGCATGAATCTCGACTCTCGAGACTTGGTGGAAGATAAGAGTCACTTTGAAAGAGAAAATAAATTGTCAAAGTATGAAAAGAAGCATACCGAAGAGTGACTTTATGGTTGGCCTCTTCGGTTTGGTACTTTTCTTCTTCAATTCAGCTGGTAAACAGAACAAGACCTCAGTCAAGCGAAAGAATACTAATAATAAACGTCCACATGAGCATAAAGGGAGAGAAAGAGGGACAGGAGAGTATTACCCATTCCGGGAACTTCATAATCGTTGACTATCTCAAAGTTTTTGTACGTGTACCCAACAAAATTAACGTCTTTAGATGGCAGCATCTGCACAGTGAGGGGGAAAATATTGACGACATGAAAATCATGATGGTAATGGAAATGGTAAATAACAATATCTGATTATAAGTACCGTAGAGCTAAGAGTACAATGAACGGCAAAATACTCAGTAATATACCCAACATTTATAAAAAGGAAGAATACCTTTCTCCATGGGCCCGATTTTGATGAAGCAACGGTTTGGGAATCAGACTGAAAGTCAAGAAAATATGAAAAACAAAAAGGTCATCTAACTGGAAAAAGAAAACAAGAAATAACCAAATAAATCGACTGGCATAGGATAGAAGAGGAGAAGCCACTACGTCTTCGAACTTTTCAAAGTTTTGTGTATCCAACTCGTCATTGACTTCGGGTATAAATGCAGCTTTCATCTCATATATTCTGTCCCAGTCGATTCCTTCAAACCAGGGATGGACCTAGAATAAAAATACCACCAACTAATTTACTCGTTTACATTAATCCCCGTAACTGATCCAAGAACATAGCATAGGACACACCATACAACACCTTTATTTCATCTGCACCCTTCGTCCCAATCCTGCGGCTGACATTACAAAGCAGTTTGCTGATAAGATCTTTCGCTTCAGGAGATAGCCTTGCTTCTTCAGGAAACTTCAGATGTGATTTCCAGTTTACTATCTGCTTGTACACGGGCAAAACCATTAATATATAAAGAGAGGAAACATTTTATTTATGAGAAAAGTAATGTTGGACAAACGTGAGGAACGAAAAGAAACGTTAAAACTAGAAATAAAGATGAATATTTGGCAGCAATCCAAAGCACACCTTCCTACATGTTGACATGGGATCATCGGAATAAAAAGGTGGATAGCCCACAAGCATTTCATACATTATAGCACCAAGTGACCACCTGCAAACAAGAAAAAACTTATAAGCGGGGAACAAGAGAGATGATTATAGATTAGGAACAGAAACGGAATATTTGTTCTAGCCTGTGAGTTGGACCATAGTGATGTCAAAGGTCAATATAAATCCAAGATGGCAATGGATCTAATAAAACATTACTAAATATTTACACACAGAAAGACCATAAATATCCTCTGAAGTTAAGCTGTATCTCCTCAAGAGTGTACTTTAAAGGATCTGTTGCCATATAGAAAACGATAAAACATAAAGATTCAGGAAAGTCCTCACAACATACAACAAACTAACCAGTCACATTCCATCCCATAACCTTTCTTCAGCAAAACCTCTGGAGCAATATAATCCGGTGTACCCACAGTGGAATAAGCCTGTAATGCCCCAGTATGAAGAATGAAGTTAAAAAAAAAAAAAGGGAATTCAGCAAATACACATCTGGAAGAATAAAGCTTAAACTGGTGCCGTGGTGCAACAACTTATTATATCATCAAATAGAATTACCTATCACTCTATCAGTTAACTAGTGGAGCAAAAAAACAATAAGAAGTTCAATAAAAGGGCGCAGCAAACGAAGAAAAAGAGAAGTTTGCATGGGAAAAGCTTACAAGTGTCCTCCTATTTTTCTGCCAATGTTGTAGTTTCTCTTGCTGAGTGCGTTTTGGAGCAGCAGTTTGGTCATAGCCTTTTGAACCCGCACCGGGATTCTCTCCCACTGAGAAATCCCCCTCTTGTATGGTACTACAATCTAAAGGTTTACATAGTCCAAAATCCGATAGTCTTAGATGGCCATATCTATCTAGTAGCAGGTTATCGGGCTTGATATCTCTGCAACGAATAATGTGTCCACATCATAAGTTAGAGCAGATATGTACTAAAAAAAAATAAAAGATTGGCACAGGAGATTAGAACAAGTAATGACCTATGTATATAATTATGTTTATGAATTGATTCAATAGCCAAGACAGTCTCTGCTACATAAAATCTTGCCTCATCTTCAGTTAAAGTATCCTTCCTCATAAGTAAGGTCATCATATCTCCACCGGGTAGATATTCCATGACAAGGTATAGATACTCTTGATCTTGAAAAGAACAATACAGTTTAACAATGCAATTACTGTCAACCTCTGCAAGCAAATTCCTTTCAGCTTTCACATGCTCCACCTGATACAATCCACAAGTAAATGACCAATTGGCATAGTGCATAGAGCCATGATAACACCATCCTAGGCTGATAATCACAAACCTGGCCTCTGCGAAGCATTTCTGATTTTTTCAGTTTTTTCATAGCATACACATGATCGGTTGTCTTTTCCCTGCAAATCCTGACCTGCACAGTAAAGAAGTCAATTGATAATAAATCCTCTGAGTAGATGCATTGCAATTAAACATGGAAAATAAAGAGAATTGATTGATTCTTTTAAAAAAACATATGAACTACCATACTCTAAGCAAAAAGGCCATAAATGAAAAGCAATGGATCTTACATCTATGACCCATGATATTTACCTCCCCAAATGCACCCTTTCCTATCATTGTCAGCAACTCAAAATCATCAGCACCCATTTTACGCCTCTGAAGTCGCATATATTCAGTTTCTTTCTTCTCTAAAAACTTCAAAAGATTACTTTGATCTTCTTCTGAGACATCAGCATCAGCAAGCTTTTTTTCCAGTAAAATTCGGCTGCATGCCAGATAAGAAAAATTAGTAACAACCACTAACTTTCTACCATCACAAGATGCATTAAACTCGAAACTACCCAATTCAACCCAGGGACGGAATAGATTTATAACCGACAAGTTGGGGAAGGCCTAGTAACAAAAGGTAATGTGTATACCATACCGCTCCTTTCTCTCCTTCAGAATCCTCATCTGCTCCTTGTAATGATTCTCTATGTATTGCTTCGCTGCAGCAACTTTCTGTTTGGTAATACTGGAGGCTTCTTCAGCTGATATATGCTTAGAATCTTCTACTCCACCACCCATTGAATCCTTCTTCTTGATTGACGCCCTCAAACGTTCCCGTGATTGGAACTTCTGGAACCAACTCCTTGCTGTATCCATTTACTTTCCCTCAACTTATGAGGCTATATATATGAATTCTCCTAAAACCATAATCATTATACCACTTCTCTTCTCATTCCCCAAATATCCAACGCCTACACAAGAATTTCAATATAGGAAACATGAATACCTATACACGCATTAATTCAATATAGAACACAAACCAATCAATTCATTTCTACCGAAAACAATAGACTTGAGCTCCAGTTTCGAGGTATCAACCAACATTTCGATTTCTTTTCTTTAATCCTGAGAACAATTATGCTTCAAGAATACGGTTTTAAAAGATCATGCCTTTAATGTGCTAAAGATGATAATGTTCAAATTCAATGAACATTAGGAACAACAAATGGGAAACCTATGAATTTCAATCGAAACCAATGCAAAAGATAGATCAAGTTAGACGTATTTGAAGCACATTTTTCCTGGGTAAAATCCTGAAAAACATTAAACCAATGCAAAAGAAAGAACAACAGATGGATCTGCTCACCGTCGAAATTCTGACGACGGAGAAGAAGAAGGAGATATCAATCCAGTTGCCGAAACAGTAAATTTATACGCGTACGTCAAGATATACTCGGAATACTCCGTAGAAGATATGCACAGAGATATGGTGATGGTGATATGTATATGCAGTTCAATTAAAGATCGTTATATTTTATGAACAGATTGTTACAGTGCAATATTAATAAAAAAATTAATTAAACAAAAAAAAATAGAGAGTAAATGTGAAATGGCAATGGGAAAGACAGTAAAAGCGGTATTATCGTTGATTGGGAAGTTACGGTGACTTCTCTCTCTTTTGGCTTTCTCCTCGCGACGACGATTCTTTTGTTTGTTCCGGTCCGACCCATTCTCAGGCCAAAGTTTTTGTCCCATTACTCAAACACGTTACTTTCAAATACGATAACAAGGTTGCATCTACTTGCAATCCTTATGCCTTGGACCCGTGTCCAGCATGCTTGCTGGACACGGGTAACAGTGCCTAACGGCACTGTTATCTCCTTCTCTTTTTTTTTTTTTTTTTAAAAAAAATTTCAGACCACTTTGTTATAGAAGTATATGTTCATAATTTTATTACTATATGTTAATAACTATACATTCATAACTCCATAACTGTACGTTCATAACTCTATAACTGTACATTCATAACTCTATAACTGTACATTCATAACGTCATAACTGTACATTCATAACTTCATAATTGTACATTCATAATTTTCGAAGCTCTATGTTCACAATTTTAGAGCTCTATGTTCATAATTTTATCACTATATGTTCATAATTGTAAGTTCATAATGTTAGAGCTCTTTGTTCATAATTCGATCAATAACTGTACATTCATAATTCCATAACTGTAGATTCATAATCTCATAACTGTAGATTCATAACTCCATAACTGTAGATTCATAACTCTATAACTGTACATTCATAATCTTCGAAGCTCTATATTCACAATTTTAAAGCTCCATGGTCATAATTTTATCATTATATATGTTCATAATTGTAAGTTCATAATGTTAGAGCTCTGTGTTCATAATTTCATAATTGCATAACTGTACATTCATAACGGCATAACTGTACATTCATAATCCAAAAAAAAAAAAAATAACGCCGTTAACGCCAAAACGCGCGCGATTTTTTTTTTTTTTAACTAAATGACGCGTTTTTTTTGAAAAACGATGTCGTTTTGGGAATTGTGGACACGGGTCCAGGGCATAATTTGCCTCTACTTGGTCATACAATAATTTATTATATTGGGAGAAGAATAATTTATTATATCATTTCAGATGTTTTATTGGGCCGGAATGTGAAAGTTTTGGGGTTGGAAATTAACATTTTAAAAAGAATAATTTATTGTATAATAATGTTTTTTTTTAATGAAGCATGTTGCAAAAATATATATCTCCATGTATACCTTTTAAAAAGATTCCCAACATATTATTTAAGAATAAATAAAAAAAAGTTGATTGATCTTGTAACCGATGATCAATTACTGAACTGATTAAAAATTTCAGTTATGAGTTACGAAGTTGTAACAAATATTTAAATTTTTTGATGGATTGTTATTAGTTATGGAGTTAAATAAACTTAGAGATGTCCGATAATATTTTTTATTGTAAAGGAACTTATTGATGATTAAAACTCAAAACATCTGTAATTAAAGAAGGCAAAACATTGTGATCTAATGGTACCAAGATTGGATTTCCATATTGAAGATTGTGAGTTTGAGTCTTAGTGGAGGCAACTAACTAACTTTGACCAGCAAACGGCCGCGGCGTGATTCGCATATCGTTTGTTCTCCAAATTATTAATGAAATTTTAGGGTGACAAATTGCATTAGATGTAACACAAAAGTTGTTTATGCAATAAGTTTTTGCTTGGTACAAATCTAAAGTTTTTTCGTCCCAAAATGGGTGGTTGGGTGGGTGGAGAATAACTCTCACCTACTAATACCTAAATGTCATGAAATTGATTATTGTTAACATCTACTCTGACGAGCCTGTGCCCACGTGATTTTTCTATTTATTACAAATGAGTGGAGTGGAGTTTATCTATTGCACATTATCACATAGTGACAATTTTTTTATTATTTTTTATTTTTTTATTTTTTTTTTGTTTGAAAGTTTTACTTAATGGAACAGATAATGGTACTGCTTGAGACTGTAAATTTTTTGAAATTATTAATACTCTTGATATGAAATTGGACAATATTCAGATGCAATAACATCATAGCACTTCAAACTTGGTTGGATGTGGCCTGGTTTTCTTTAAAAAAATGTTAGAAGGATGAGGCTTATATGACCATTCCATTGCTTTTGTCTGCAAATCATGATATTGATTATCTTATTATGAAGCAATTAAGTACAGAGTTTTGCAGGCTGCATAAATGCATTGTTTAGTGGCCATATAATTTGACTATCTCAAACACTAGCACATGGATGTGCCTTCATGTAGTCTAGTGTGACCATTCTTTTAAATGTTCAATAATTAATAATTTCATAGGTATACTCCTAAGGCGTGAATAAGATGCGTAAATTTCTTTCGACGTAACTAAAAGTTTTAGGTTTGAGTCCTAAAAACTTAAGTATAGACGTACAGCTCACCCGTTTGCTGTTATTCATGCGTGAGAATGCAATTAATTTAAAATCAAAACGTACGAGTAAGAATGCAACTACCTTAAACCCCGCAGGAGTGATTTGATACTTTCCGAAGTTCCTAAAATCAACAGGTTTGAGTCCTAAAAATGCAACTACTTTTAAAACCTTTGAACGAGTGCTTTGCCACCATTTAAAGTCCCTACTTGATTCGTCAGAAAAGATTAGACATTTTTTTTTTGAATACTACTGACTCTATTACAATGTAGTATCTGTTCATAAATACTTTCTCAACCAAATGAAAAACAAAGAGACATTTATTAAAACAACACCACACTAATAAACACAGGATGCTTTACTCCATTTTTTTTTTTCTTTTTTGGATCATAACATTACTCCATTTTGATAGCATCAAACAAGACAAATTACAGCCTTAAAGGCCAGATATGTTTATATATGTTATACATACAAGAGCTGTAAGGCATGAAAGATTGTAAGTTCTGCAATATGGTGTATGGAGATAGTAAACAATTTCCTCAAATGAATAAAAACAAATGTCACAAGCAATGACTCCTTATTGTTGTGTGCTAGACCCGGAACTGGTAGTCAGCGATAATACGCCATGTGTCTAGACGAGCGAAAGGGAGAAGCATCAAACGGGGAAGATGTCGTCTTAACTGCACTCGGATTCTTGCTGGCTTTCTTTTTCTCGATCGGGGTCTCAGACCGAAGCCAGGTCTCCACCACCGAGAGCAAATTGGGCTTAGTCTTCAGCTCGGCAAGTTCTGATAACTTCTCGGACCTCTTCAAAACGCCATCTTGAACGTAGACTAGATCTGTCGCCCATGTCTCTAATCCATCAAATATATGCGTTGCATACACTACCGTAGCACCTCTCTATTGTCAACGCATTAATAAAAAGAAAATATTCAAACGGAGTCAATTTCTTATGACAAACAACACTCGGTATTAAAAAACACGAGAGCAACTAAATACCTGCTCGCATTCTTCCTTAAAAAAATCAAGTAAATCCATCCTCGCAACAACATCTAGGTCAACCGTAACCTCATCTAGCAAAAGAACCTGTACAAAAAACAATACTCAAGGTTCGCAGAATCTGAACCTTCTTTTCAATCAAATTAATATCTTTATTTTGGTTAAATGGATGGGGTGTTGCCTGAATCCTTCCTAACCCGTTTATAAACAAATCTTGAAAATAAAAAACAAGTAATAAGATGAACATGGCATTACAATGAATGCATTTGCCAATATTATAATGCATATATTATATTATAATATAAAGGGCATCTGCAAAGTTAGGAGTAGACGAGATTTACCTTGTAGGGATGAAGAAGGCCCATACAGATCTGCACTCTACGCCGCTGACCATCAGAGACCTTGTGCATCCGCCATTGGAGATCAATATCTAGCAGTTCAATCAGCTTCTCTCGCCTAATAGGATCAACTCCATCAACTAGATTCACAACAAGGAACGAGAAAATGAGCTAAAAACAGATTGATGTACTTTAAAAGAAACAATAGCTAAAATCTACATCCTGAAAATACTAAATCACATTCAGATTTGTGGATTTTTTCATATTCTTTCTCCTGACTAAAAAGTTAAGGCCATAACGAACTTCAAATCCCAATCTTATTAACATGGTGATTAATGCAATTGCGGTGAGATTCCATAAGTCTCATAGAAGCAATGTAAAGATGAACAAAGAGAACAAGGATATGAGATTTAGTTCACCTCCAAATATCATATGCTCAGCTGAGAAGTCTCCCTGGAGTGGGATTTCCCCCTGAAAATTGACAAAAAGAAACAACCTTTATGCTACCAAGGAAGATCAAACAGCCAGTACTTACATCAGTTGTCACCTCAAACATAGGGGGCAATCCAACCAAATTGGTCGGACTGTTGACTTGATTGACTCCTAGCAGGAGCGGCCTATTTGGTGGGTGGTTTGAGCTAGTCTTACCTCATTGCGACTACCTAAGCTGGTTTATCTCATTGTACACTGGGGTCACAAGCGGGCCCAGTACACTAGATAGTGGTTGCGGGTTTTCTCGTCACAACAAATTTATTTAAAAAAACAAAAAAAAACCTCAAACATGAAAGAATATTCAACAAAGAAACAGCAGAATTGACTTACAGCAGAGCCAACGTTTTTGCTCCAAGATTCTCCAAGATAGGCTAGGTCACCACTGCAGACAAGGTGTGTGTCATGGAAAGCTGAAAAATTTAGCACCCGCACAACATCTTTCCCACCCACCAAATGCTTCCCCGCCAATATTCTGAGCAGAGTCGTCTTCCCTTTAGGAATAAAGAAAAAAATGACATTTTTGAGAAATTGAAAGCGCTGAAGATCTAGAACGGGTAAATGGGCATACCGGATCCATTCGCGCCGACGAGCAGACATCGAGATCCGGGAGAAACCTTGAGGCTGAAGTCGAAGAACAAGGGGGTTTGGAAATCGTACCCGAATTGCATGCCACTCACTTGTATACTGTTTGATTCTGCCGCCATTTTCGTCTCTTTTTCCCTCGGCCTCCGGTATTCGATCAATGGGGTTTCCGGCGGCGTGTTATAAAGCAGTCTACGAAGTAAAGTCTCCTCTCTAACAACCTCAACGACCTCTTCCAGGGACTGAATGTTTACACGTCTACTGAACATTGGGGTCGTCGGCGAAAATTATAAACTTAACAGGGCTTGATTTAGTAATAGTTTAAAACTCGGCCCTTCACTGCAAAAGGAAATTAGTTTTGTACCCTCGAATAGAGTTTTTTTTTTTTTTTTTTTTTTTTTTTTTTTTAAATACCAATTTTTGTCCCACAAGTACTAGCAAAATGACAGTTTTGATCAATAGATTTAATTCCTATCATTTTCATTCACGACTTTTGTTTTAGTACCAATTTTCATCCACGATTATTGTTTTAGTGCCACAATTCATCGGCTGATAACTCCTCCATTTAAGACATGTCGAAATCTAAAATTTGTAAAGATATTTTCGTCTTTTTCAACTTAAGATCTCAATTTGATCATAAATAAAGAGATTTAAACCCTAGATCAATCTCAATTTGCAATTTTCATTCTCATTATACTTTTTTCTTAAATTATTCAAGAATTGAATTGAAAATGACAATTTTATCTTTCACAGTAAGTTTTTTGTCTGAAAGTTAATCACCCAAAAAATTAAACTGAAGAGACCAAATGTGAGTATGTGACAATAATTTAAAAATTGTAGAATCAAATAAAAAAAAAATAATAGTATAGGGCTAAATATAGAAATGGTTTTATAATTGTGGGGCTAAAAGTTGAAAAAGCTTCCCTGGTATATTTTGCAATTGTCTATTTAATCCTGTCAGTTCTTTAAACCTCTGCATCCACGGCTTTAGGAAGAAGGGGACTAAGGTGAGTTATTAGTTCTAGGGTTTTTGTCCTGGTTTCCGTGTATGGAAGAGAGAAACAGCAAAACCAAGTAAAAAAGATCAAAGCTTTTTGTTAATTCCCATCCGGGTTTTGCTGTTTCTCCGTATCTATTCGTCTGTATAGTGCTTATTTAGTTATTTTGCGTGTGTTCAAGGAAGGTTTGTATTCATAAAGTTTACATTTTTTTTTTCTTTTTAATTATTTTTTTCAGCTCTTGCTCTGCCAGACAACTAGCAAAGATGTATCTCCATTTCTACATAAACGAAAAGGGCGACAAAGTTTATACGACCAAGGTAAGATGATTAGTATTTTCTTCCTGTTCATTGTGCAATTGCCTTTTTCTTATGTTTTTTGTTTTCCTATTAATTGCATCCTTTATTGTCTTAAATATGTGACCTTTTTTTGAATTTATTAGATATTGTGTTGTAAAACTGTCCTTCTGATCTTAAATATGTGAACTTTTTTGAATTTCTTAGATATTGTGTTGTAAACCTGTCCTTTGAGCTTTTTGGGTGACTAGGAAACCCGCAACTACTACTTAGTGGCATTGTGAACTTGTAACCTTGTGGTTACCAAATCAACTGCTTGATCAACTTGGCTAGCCCTATCCTTCCTAGCTTTTATTCTTTGTGGGCTTGAGCCTACACAAAAGCTATGTGCCATTGATAGTAATGTGAAGCTTTGAAGAATTAGGGGACGTGAAGCAGTCTTTGTACCCTTCATTGGATTTAACATGAAGGGATTGTTATCATTCTCTCCTTGTCCATTTTTTAAAATGTAAAAGAACTGTGGTACACACTAATAATACCAGTATTTAGTACTATGGATAATTATTATTCTCTAATGACTTTCACTCCTTAACACCTTGGATGCCTATTTGCAACCATGTGTTCAGGTTGCCTGACATTATTGTTTTTTTTTTTTTTGAACTTTCAGAAAGAATCTCCAGTAGGATTGGCTACACAATCTGCTCATCCAGGTATTTCTTCTAACCCTACCACTGGTCCACCCCCAATACTTTTCCATTGTGTTCTAGTGTTTCTAGTTTCAAAGGAGATCTTAAAACTAAAATGCCAGTTTAATGGCCTGTATTGGTGGTAACTTAGAGATTCTAATGCACCAATGAACTATTAAGATAATGGAGATGTCTTTTTCATTTTTTTTTTAATAAAGTATTATCTATTAGATGGCCCGACATTCTCTTTCCCCCAACTAGTCATTGGAAGATTGTTAGATTGTATATGGTGGTTAGAAAGAATAATTCTTTTGTCCCAACTCCCTTGAAAGTAAAAAATAAAATCAATATGTTCATTTGTGTCCGTGTTGGAAAGTGAAAAATTTGAGGGTACAAACATTTGTTCTTTTGGTCTGTTATGGCACATAAGTATAGCAATGCAAACATCACTTACATATAACCTATGTATTTGAACTTCTATGAACTCATGCTATGAACTCATGCAGCTCGGTTCTCCCCTGATGACAAATACTCAAGGCAGAGAGTTCTCCTAAAGAAGCGTTTTGGTTTGCTTCCCACCCAGAAGCCACCTCCCAAGTATTGATTGTTCCAACTCTATCGAGGCTTTACCTAGTCGTAATGCTCTTTGGTTTGACTTTGCAATAGAGAGTGTGGATCATCAAAACGTTGTTGTTAGTTATGCTTTTCATTACTCATAGAATGTATGACGGTTGAAAATTGACTCCAACTATTTTTTGCCTTGTAAAAGCACATCTGAGGCTCCTCGTAATTGCTTTCTTGGTGGATTTATGTGTTGTAATACTGGATTCATATGAAAATATCTTTAAATGTTTCTCATTTTTCATTTAAGCATTGTAGAATGTGGAATGGTGTCACTGTTTCTCCCAATTTTGAAATAATTTACTTGGAATTATATTTTGCTTCATAAATGAGGAGCAAAAAGGTTGTGTTTGTAAAGAAGATTTTGGTACTCCACAATTCCACCACTTTTTTGGTTTACTTTGTAGAGGTGAAGTGATCAAAAAGGTTGTGTTTGTAAAGACGATTTTGGTATTCCACCTTAATATGCTTTTGGTTTACTTTTTAGAGGTGAAGTGAGCTTTCACTAACAAATCTTGAAAACAAATGCTTTAAACCATTTGAAACTTTAGTTTGGTTTATGCGGATTTGGAGTTTGGATATACATATTTCATGTTTGATTTGCTTTAAACCATTTGAAGCTTCTTGTTTGATTCACTTAATACCATTTGAACTTAGTCATTTACTTAAGCCATTCACACCGGTGATTTCTTCCCAGTTACAAAGTTGAACTTAGTCATTTACTTAAGCCACTCACACCGGTGATTTCTTCCCAGTTACAAAGTTGATGTTGATTTCTTTTTTTTCTTTAGTGATTACGTGTAGTAAATCTACCTATCAGAATTGTTGCATTTGTTGTAATTTGCCTGCCAAAATTTTTGTTTGCAATTTTGACAATTATATTTTTCTATTATTACTTTTATTACTATTTTAATTTTAATTATTACTACTCTGTAATACTTTATTGATAAAAATAAATATTTTAATAAGTTGATGTGATAATGAGATTATTTTTGAAAGATGAGAGAGAATTGCAGGGAAGAAGAGTGAAAAATGAATAATTATAAATTTTGTGATGTGACATTTTAAATGTGAAAGAACATTGTATGAGTGTGAATTATGACTTGAAAATGTTCCATGTAATGAAGTTGGAACAAACAAAAACAAAGAGAATGAAACGATTAAATTAACACTAAAATATTAAGCATTCAAAGTACCAATAAATGCATGCTAAAATAAAGGTGTTAAACAAACTCAGGTACATGTTATTAATTGAAGTTTTTCATTTTCTTAGTGGAGGGATGAAGTCCACATGAAGAAAGGAGATAAGGGAATTTGCCTTGACTTGCTGTCCTATAAAATTGTTTAGAGTAAATTTATTGTTAGTTAAAGTTATCTTTTTATGATTATTTACTAATTCGTGTCAAAGTGAGACATCTGGAGCTACCCTTTTAATGGAATATAACTGTGTGTTTATTAATTAATGAGTTAATTTCAGCAATAGTTCTCCGACTATAGTGATTTTCTAAAATTAGTCCCCAACTTTTAATTTGGACACTTTAGGTCCCTTGACTTTTAATTTATTTCCAATTGAGGTCCTTTCGTTAGAATACGGTTCATTAGACTTTAAATGAAGGGGTAAACTCGTCCTTTCACATGCCTATGTATTATTCTTCGTATTTCACCCTTCGTATTTCGTTGTTATACCTTGTAAACATCTCAATAATAGAGGAACGCACACATGAGTAGTCAGCAAATGGGGAACGACGAGGAACATTTTAGGGTTTCGACTAAGATTATCTTCATATATATCGCGTATACAATGGAGAAATAATAAGAATAATACATAGGCAGGTGAAATGATGAGTTTACCCCTTTATTTAAAATTCAATTAACCGTATTCTGACGAAAGGACCTCAATTGGAAAGAAATTGAAAGTCAAAGGACCTAAAGTGTCCAAATTAAAAGTCAAGGACTAATTTTGAAAAATCAATATAGTCGGAGGACCATGGCTGGAATTAACTCTTAATTAATCAAAGAGTTTGAAACTTCTTGTTAACACATTTTTTTTTTTTTTTTTAATTCTTTGAAATGTTTGTTAACACATTTTCTTGGACATTGGTTTGGAAAGGAACAAAAGAAAAAAGAAAAAAGAAAAAGAAAATTCCAGCGTGTCAAATCCTCATTGCTTGGTTAGACTGGAAATACGTCAGAGAAGGGCGCAGTTGGAATCCAAATTTCCGATTCAGTCGGGGTCTTTGAAGAACAGTCAGATGTAAACTAGACGTTGCAGTCACTCTGGCGCGGACTGGTAGTCTTCTCTCCCAAAAGGTCGAAGCTCTTCGACGATCTCCTTTGCAATTGTGCTTCCATCTCAATCCATTTATTAAATTGAAATTTGAATTTGCACTTGTTTCTCTTCCAATATGTCCTTTAAATATGTTTTTGCTTACAGGAATGGCGATAAAATTAGGATTTGTCATTGTAATAGCATTGACAATTTTGTCGATCTGTGGAGCTGCGGTCTTCAGGCCGATCTCCGACTCTCATCGATCCGCTGCATTAGAGCTCTTTACTCCCTCCGACGGATCTTATGGGAGGTTAGTTAGTTAAATTAAACGCTTACTATTCTGTGTGAATGGGTGAGCGGAGTTATCAGACTACTTAGCTTGGAATTTTGGATGCTAAGCTCTTTAAACTTGATTTATGCATTTTATTTGTCTTGCAGCCTGGAAGAAACCTATGAGGCTTTGAGAACGTTTGATGTCCTCGGGATTGATAAAAAGGCTGACATAAAGGCTTCCACCTGTAAGTCAGTTGTTGACATTCTATCGACTCCTTCTTCACACTTGAAGGATTTGTTTCAAGCATTCAGAGTTAATGGAATATTAAAGTGTGAGCAGAATGATGGGGTTATTGCAGTAAGTTTCATGCTTGGTAAACTGACATGATTTACTGAAATTCAGCTTCTTTTCATTATTTTTAGTGCATGTTATTCCATAGTTTCTTTAATCATCTCTTATCTTTGACTGTATTACCTTAAAGCCCACTGCCTCAAGACTCAACGAAGGTGTAAATAGCGCCAAATCACTTCTTGACTTCTACTATTCAATAGGAGGTTTGGTGCTTATCAAGGTAATAGATAATTGATATGCTGGATTTACCTAAATGATACTCCCAAGCAACAAATAAAAAAATATACTGGAACTGAGTTTGGACTCCTCTGCTTTTAATCATTTATTTACCTTGTAGGATCTGAGTTCTGAAGTTGATGTTCATCTCAAAGATGCTAAAGGAGTTTTCCATTCAATCAAGGTTATATTCAGTTTCTACTGCTTATTTGATATAACTTGCCATTTAACCGATATTCTGTGTTTGTGACGAATTATGTTGCCATTAACATATTTCATCTGAATGCCTAAATGACATTGTTTGTTATTTGTAGGCTCTCAGCCAAAGTGATGGAAGATGGCGTTATAATTCTAATAATCCTGAGTCTAGCTATTATGCTGCAGGTAATATAGTTTTTACTGCTATTCAACTGTCTGATAGACATCATTATATAAAAAAATGGTGCATTCTGTTACTAAAGTTGATGTATTTCCTCCATGAATTCTTAGTTGCTAATTGATTTTGTTGTGATTTATTAATTATTTACCCAATTAATATTTTTTTTAGCAGGAATAGCGCTTGAGACCCTTGCTGGCGTTGTTTCATTAGCATCTTCCAAGATTGAGTATTCTCTGGTAGGTTGAAAAACACCCCACAACCCTGGCTCTTCATGAACTGCTGTGTTTGGTGGATATTATTCTTTCTAATCTGCATTGATATGCTCTCATGACAGATTGATACGTTGAAAAATGATGTATCAAAGCTTTTTGATGGCATTGAGAGATATGGTATGCATTTTTATGGCTTTTGTTGTTATCAAGATATATATTACCTACGGAGTAACGGATATCTTCAGAATATATTTGCATTTCCAATTCTATGACCTTTGATAATGGTTTAGTTGTTTCTATATAATTGTGTTGGAATTCTATAATAATAATAATAATTTTATTAGTTGCATGGTTTGCTTTGTTTGTTTGTTTGTTTTTTTTTTTTTTTTTTTAAATTTAAATTTTTAATTTTTAAAGGAATGTAATGTGTCTAATGATCTAAAGTGAGAAATCAGTTTTATACTTGTAAATTTGTTTTAGCTTCTTGATATTGGTTATTTGCAGCATAAAAACACAATTAAGTACAGGAACAACATTCTTACAAAATGTAGCATTGTTTTCATATTGCAGATGATGGAGCCTACTATTTTGATGAGAAAGTTGTTGATGCACATGGACATCAGGGTCCTCTTTCAGCTTCATCATCAATAGTCCATGGTATCACAGCTTTAGCAACAATAACGGGTGAAAATTTAAATGTATGTCTCAGTGAAAATGGTCTTGGTCGCTGTGTGTGATTGCATGTGTTTGTGTATTGATTTCTTGTCTGCCTATTATATTGATGCTACTTTTTTTTTTTTTTTTTTTTTTTTTTCTTTTTTCTTTTTTTCTTTTTATCTTTTGGGTTTACAGCTTCCAGGGGAAAAGATTTTAGGTTTAGCAAAGTTTTTCCTTGGTATTGGAATCCCTGGAAATGAAAAGGACTTGTATTACCAAATTGATGCATTGGCCTGCTTGGAAGACAATAGGTATGTGATTCAGAATTTTTTTTTCCCATTTTTGAGGCTCTTCTAGCTGATCTGATTACCTATCTTTTCATTCTGTTAACATATGAGACTTTTGTTTTGTGTATAGGGTTTATATTCCTTTGATTTTGTCACTGCCAACTACTGTGCTGTCATTGACTAGAAAAGACCAACTAAAGGTGTGCCATTTAGTTTACATTTGTATCCTTTCTTTTCAGTGTTGTATACATAATAATTTCAAATATCTCAAAGAAATGCTTCTTTCTTTTGTTTAAGTATTATTGTTGTTATTTTTGCACTCTTTCCTCTTTGGTTTGCCTAGTGATTTTTGAGAGGCATGGATTTCAAGAGTATTATGACTTTCTGAAAGAGTGAACAGAAGGAGATTTGCTTCACATGTGAATTTGACTAGATTTGTTCTTGGAGCCTAGCTATTTGTACTGAGGTTCTGTTGAGCAAGTTGCTTGCTTTTCAATTAATCGACTTGTTTAATTGTGCTTATTAGGTGCATGTAAACACTGTTTTGGGATCTTCAGCTCCTCCTCTGTCAGTAAGACTCAAGCAGGTTTTTGTCTCAGGTTCAAAGGATGCATCAATAGTTGATCAGGTGCTAAGAGCCTATTGTGTTTGATATCCATGACCACATATATGACTCTTCCGTTTACATTCTAGTTATATTTGTGGCATCTTTTGTTTCTTTATACTTTGTATAACTTTCTTCCAAATGCTTCAGGACCTCAAGTTTGATCCTGAAAATAAAGTACATTTGGGTGCTCTGCCAGAAAGCATTGATGTTGGAAGTTACATTTTTAGTTTTGAGGTATGATCCCCTTCCTTGTTTCCTTTTGAGATTTGCTTCCTTCTCATTTTTATCTTTCCCCATTATTTAGAATGATATCCATGGTTTTCTTTCTTTTCTCTCGGCCTTGTTGTGCAGATTGTTCTTCATGACCCAGAGCATAAAAAAATCTATGCTACAGGTGGAAGAAGCAAATTCCCCATATATGTCACAGGAGTTGTCACAGTTGACCATGCAGAAATTGCTATTCTTGACAGTGATCTTGGAAATGTGGAAACTAAAAAAAAGTATTTTGATATATTTCTTCCTCTTTCCTATTCCACATACTGTTTCTCTCATCATTTGCGTGCAGCATTACTAAAGAATGTTCTGTTTGTTGACATTAAAATTTTCAATGGTCCAGTAGTAACAAGAGTGTCTATGATGAAATCCTACTTGTTTTAAACCGTTTACATTTGGGATATCAGCATTTTCAGCTTTTCTTAAATATAGTTGTAGCATCTAGGTTCTTTGTACTCCAAAATTTAATTTTTCTTGTATGCCAACTTGCAGTCTTGCACACCAAGACTTAACAAACTAAACCCATTGTTTGATATGCCAAGTCATATTATAAATTTGTTCTTGTCATGCATGGAGTCGTCCTGTACTCTTTCTGTTAAATCCATTAGTATTAGCTCATAGTTCATTGGTGCATGTATCGATGCATAGGTTAAGAAAGAAATTTGGTAATTTTTCCTCTTGCAAGGAAGTTCAGTCAATTACCTTTTGCCTTAATGCTTCCATAAAAGTTAATTAAACACTGATTTGCTTTAATGTGTGAAATCTGATGCAAAATTAGTGAGGATTAAGTGATATCTTCTCTTTTAAGAAGTGTAGGAAGATATTGAGGGAGGTTGAGAGAATAGCTCTCAACTACTCAATTTGAATTTAAAATGAGTGGTGAGAGCTTGGATAACCCTTCTACTAGCATGTATAAATGCCTGTCTTGTACAATTCCTTTTCATCAGTTCAATACATGCATAGTTCATACTCTACATACATGTTCTACAATAAGCAGGTCAGTGGTCATGGGATGTTTGGTTCATGGTTGTGCATTCATGCTACTTCTCCTGACTTGGTGCTCATATGACCGCTTAACCTATTCGTTAACATATGATTCAGGCTGAACTTTGCTGGGGAGAAATCTGTCTCTCTACAAGCGAACCACCTTCAGAAGCTGCGGCTAGATTTTCAGTTGACCACTCCTCTTGGGCATGCTTTCAAACCACACCAGGTTGACAGCCTGGTTTATTTGTTTATTTCCCTTAGGTTGTATTAGTCATCTAAATACTTAATTGTATGTTACTTTATGCAGGTATTCCTCAAGTTGAAGCATGAGAGCAAAGTGGAACATATCTTTGTGGTGGGAAACTCTGGAAAGCAGTTTGAGATAATACTAGTTAAGTTCTTTAAATCATTTATTTGTGAAACTTGGATCAATTTCTTTACCTTTAAAGGTATCTACAATTCTGCACAGTTGTCATATTACAATTTGTAGACATTACATTTTTTTTTTCTGGCTATTTCGCTCAATCCTATCCAAAGATGCTTAATGATCTGGAATGCTATTTCATGGAAGTAGTGATATTCAGTCATCATTTTTGGGGAATAGAAAGTTGTGCTCAGTGATGTTATTTATTCATTCATGCAGCCTTTCATCCATTCTCCATCTCTAACCTTGGGGTGTTGAATGGAATTCTGTGTTGTTAGGATTTTCTTGGACTCGTTGAGAAGCTTTTCTATCTGTCAGGCAAATATGACATTCAACTCACAATTGGTGATTCTGTTATGGTAAGCATGCTTTGATTAAAAGTTAAAACGGGCATCTCCCCCCTCCACAACCCCTGCTCTGTGGTAATTCCAGAGACCACAGCCCATGAAAAAGAAACAATTATGGAACCTTGGGCTGTTGCAAAGGCTGTATTTTGGGCAAAAAACTGAGCTGGGTATTTTATCTTCTTCAGGAAAACTCTCTCTTGAAATCCTTGGGATATGTTGAATTAGATCTGCCAGATCCTCCTGAGAAGGCAGCCCGTCCTCCTCCACAGCCCATTGACCCTTCCTCAAGATTTGGTCCCAAGGCAGAAATAGCTCACATATTCAGGGCTCCAGAGAAACAGCCTCCTAGAGAGCTTTCCCTTGCATTTCTGGCGCTTGTTCTCTTGCCCTTCTTTGGATTTTTGGTTGGGGTTAGTCTTCATCGTATATACTCTTTATGCCTGCATGATTTTTACTTCATGTCAGAATGAATGATTGATTGCTGTCTGGGTGATGGTGGGCTGGTTTAGAGCTCAATTCACCTAGCATTACTGGATGTTTTTCTTTGCAATAGTTGTAACTTTGTTCATCACAGAAAAGCGTGGACCCTGATTTCGATTCAAGAACACTTTATTATCTTGTTTATTTTGTCTGGACAGCTTTTACGGTTGCGGGTGAACCTGAAGAACTTCCCACATGCCCCAGTGCCTGCTACATTTGCCAGTCTTTTCCACGTTGGCCTCGCAGCTGTCCTCTTACTCTATCTTCTCTTCTGGCTGAAGGTCTACCCTTTGGACTTTAATTACTTAATGTTTTCAATTCTTTATTTTCTGATCAGTATGGTATTTTTCCTTTACAAATTATTTCATAATTGGAGCGACCCTGAATAAGAGGGTTTTCACCTCGAAATCTTACATGCCTTGCTCAGTCGACTGAAACTTTCATGCCACTCAATTTTAATTTTGACTTGTTTTTTTGCAGTTGAATTTGTTCACCACATTGAAAGCTCTTGGAATCTTGGGAATGTTTTTGATGTTTGTTGGACACAGAACCCTCTCACACTTGGCTTCAACATCAGCCAAGGTGAAATCCGCGTGACCTGCGGGATAATCCGTTTACAAATGACCTAGAAAAGCATGGAAGAAACAGAGTCTATTATTGAGTCAGTTTTGTAGGCTATGGCCACCAAATCATGTATTTATGACTTATGAGGATAGAATTTTTCCCACCATCATATTGAAAACACTTCAGTTTAGTGCATCAGAAATTCAGGATTATATCTTCTTCTTCTTTTAAGTGGTGTAGTTGTTTTAATGCCTGAGATGTTTAATTTTGAATCAACTTTTATGTTCAATATGTGTCTGCCTAGTACTCCATCTAACTGCTCCTTAGTGTGTGAAGTTAGACAGTTGTAATACTGGATTCATATGAAAATATCTTTAGATTTTCTCATTTTTCATTTAAGCATTGCAGCATGTGGAATGGTGTCACTGCTTCTCACAATTTTGAAATAATTTACTTGGAATTATATTTTGCCTCATAAATGAGGACCAAAAAGGTTGTGCTTGCAAAGAAGATTATGGTATTCCACATTTCCACCACCTTTTTTGGTTTACTTTGTAGAGGTGAAATGAGCAAAAAGGTTGTGTTTGTAAAGAAGATTTTGGTATTCCACCTTGTTATGCTTTTGGTTTACTTTTTAGAGGTGAAATAACCTTTTACTAACCAATCTTGAAAACAAATACTATAAACCATTTGAAATTTTAGTTTGGTGTATGGGATTTGGGGATTGGATATACATATTTCATGTTTGATTTGCTTTAAGCCATTCGAAGCTTCTTGTTTGATTCACTACAAACAAATATATATAGCTAGTAAATAGAGGAAAAATGACTGAAATGTGTAAGTAGGTACATGCATTTCCCAAAATATGACGTTGTTGGAGATTGGACGAAAATATGAAAAACACATTTAGGAAATGCGTTTTATCACATTTCCAATCTATTTTATTATTTATTTATTTATTTTTTTGTCTTCTATGGCGAAGGAGAAGACAACCAATGTCAGGGGCGCCAAAACTAGAGTTGAGAACGGCGGGGAAAAACTGGGCGGCTGGAAGCATGGCGGTGACGGACATAGCCGCGGCGACGGAGGATTTGGATTGGGTTTGGGAGAAGCAGCGTTGGGTATCAGAAAAAGAAGAGAGAAACGCAAGTGGGATTTGCGTTTCTCCAGAAACGTCGTTTCATGTTTGACCGAAAATGTGATAAAACGCATTTCCTAAACGTGCTTTTCATATTTTTCGTCCAATTCCCAGCAGCGTTATATTTTCAGAAATACATATGGTCATTTTTCCAGTAAATAGACCATGCCTATAGACTCGAAAACAAGGGCTTGTATATATTAGTCTGTGCCTATTTTACCTAAATTTTACCTAAATAAGCTTAAAATTTAAAAATAGATCTCAATTTGATGTTTTTACTAAATATAAATAGGTCAGCTGCCCAAACTAGGCCCATAGGCCAATACGAATGGGCCAAGCCCATTTTCATCCCTAGTGGGAATCCAAATTTCCGCTTCAGTCGGGGTCTTTGAAGAACAGTCAGACGTATACTAAGCGTTGCAGTCACACTGGCGCGGACTTGGTAGTCTTCTCTCCCAAAAAAGTACGAAGCTCTTCGACGATCTCCTTTGCAATTCTGCTTCCATTTCAATCCATTTTTAAAATTAAATTTGAATTGGCACTTGTTTCTCTTCCAATCTGTCTTTTAAATATGTTTTTGCTCACAGGAATGGCGATAAAATTAGGATTTGTCATTGTAATAGCGTTAACAATCGTGTCGATCTGCGGAGCTGCGATCTTCAGGCCGATCTCCGACTCTCATCGATCCGCTGCATTAGAGCTCTTTACTATCTCCGATGGATCTTTTGGGAGGTTAGTTAAATTAAACGCTTACATTTCTGTGTGAATGAGTGAGCAGAGTTATCAGACTACTTAGTTTGGATGCTAAGCTCTTTAAAGTTGATTTCCAAAAACGGCCACCTCATGCATTCGTCAATTTATTAAAAGGAAAGGGATGCACATGTTTGGCAAACTCTAATTGTAGGGTCTCTAATATAAATATTGCTTTATGCATTTTATTTGTCTTCAGCTTAGAAGAAACCTATGAGGCTTTGAGAACGTTTGATGTCCTCGGGATTGATAAAAAGGCTGAAATAAAGGGTTCCACCTGTAAGTCAGTTGTTGACATTCTATCGACTCCTTCTTCGCACTTAAAGGATTTGTTTCAAGCATTCAGAGTTAATGGAATATTAAAGTGTGAGCTGAATGATGGGGTTATTGCAGTAAGTTTCATGCTTAATGAATTGACATCATGTACTGAATTTCAGCTTCTTTTCATTATTTTTTCAATGCATGATATTCCATAGTTTCTTTAATCATCTTTTATTTTTCACTATATTACCTTAAAGCGCACTGCCTCAAGACTCAAAGAAGGTGTAAATAGCGCCAAATCACTTCTTGACTTCTACTATTCAATAGGAGGGTTGGTGCTTATCAAGGTAATAGATAATTGATATGCTGGATTTACCTAAATGATACTCCCAAACAACAATAGAAAAATAAACTGGAACTGAGTTTGGACTGGACTGCTTTTAATTATTTATTTACCTTGTAGGATCTGAGTTCTGAAGTTGATGTTCATCTCAAAGATGCTAAAGGATTTTTCCATTCAATCAAGGTTATATTCAATATCTACTGCTGATTTGATATAACAGCCATTTAACCGATATTCTGTGTTTGTGACGAATTATGTTGCCATTAACATATTTCATCTGAACGCCTCAATGACGATGTTTGTTATTTGAAGGCTCTCAGCCAAAGTGATGGAAGGTGGCGTTATAATTCCAATAATCCTGAGTCTAGCTATTATGCTGCAGGTAATATAGTTTTTACTGCTATGTTATTCTACAGTGATAGATATCATTATATAAAAAAGTGTTACATTCTGTTACTATATTTGATGTATTTCCTCCAAGAATTCTTAGTTGCTAATTGATTTCGTTGTGATTTATTAATTATTTATTCAATTAATTAATTAATTGTTATTTTTATTTTTATTTTTTTATTTTTTGCAGGAATAGCGCTTGAGACCCTTGCTGGCGTTGTTTCATTAGCATCTTCCAAGATTGAGTATTCTCTGGTAAGTTGAATAACACCCCACATCCCTAGCTCTTCATGAACTGCTGTCTTTGGTGGATATTATTCTTTCTAATCTGCATTATATTCTCTCATGACAGATTGATACGTTTAAAAATGATGTATCAAAGCTTTTTGATGGCATTGAGAGATATGGTATGCATTTTAGGGCTTTTGATGTTATCAAGATATTACCTACAGAGTAACAGATATCTTCAGAATATATATTTGCATTTCTAATTCTATGCCCTTTGATAATGGTTTAGAAGGTTTGTAGTCTATTCATTTGATAATAGTTTAGTTGTTTCTATGTAATTGTGTTGGAATTCTATAATAACAATTCTATTAGTTGCTTGGTTTGCTTTGCTCTTTTTTTAAAAAAGGAACGTATGTGTCTAATCATCTAAAGTGAGAATTCAGTTTTATACTTTTAAAATTTGTTTTAGCTTCTAGATAGTGGTTTTTGCAGTATAAAAACACAAATTTAAGTACAAGAACAACATTCTTTCAAAATTTGATATTGTTTTCATATTGTAGATGATGGAGCCTATTATTTTGATGAGAAACTTGTTGATGCACATGGACATCAGGGTCCTCTTTCAGCATCATCATCAATAGTCCATGGTATCACAGCTTTAGCAACAATAACGGGTGAAAATTTAAATGTATGTCTCAGTGAAAATGGTCTTGTTCGCTGTGTGTGAGTGCATGTGTTTGTGTATTGATTTCTTGTCTGCCTATCATATTGATTCTACTTTTTATTTTACTTTGGGTTTGCAGCTTCCAGGGGATAAAATTTTAGGTTTAGCAAAGTTTTTCCTTGGTATTGGTATCCCTGGAAATGAAAAAGACTTGTATTACCAAATTGATGCATTGGCCTGCTTGGAAGACAATAGGTATGTGATTGAGAATTTTTTTCCCTTCTGTTGTTTATATTTTATATTGTTTTCCCCATTTTTGAGGCTCTTCTAGCTGATTTGATTACCTATCTTTTTATTCTGTTAACATATGAGACTTTTGTTTTGTGTATAGGGTTTATATTCCTTTGATTTTGTCACTATCAACTACTGTGCTGTCATTGACTAGAAAAGACCAACTAAAGGTGTGCCATTTAGTTTACATTTATATCCCCTTTCCTTTCAGTGTTGTATACATAAAAATTTCAAATATCTCAAAGAAATGCTTCTTTCTTTTGTTTAAGTACGGAGTATTATTGTTGTTGTTGTTATTCTTGCTCTCTTAGCTCTTTGGTTTGCCTAGTGATTTTTGAGAGGCATGGATTTCAAGAGTATTATTATGACTTTCTGAAAGAGTGAACTGAAGGGGATTTGCTTCACATGTGAATTTGACTAGATTTGTTCTTGGAGCCTAGCTATTTGTACTGAAGTTCTGTTGAGCAAGATGCTTGCTATTCAATTAATCGACTTGTTTAATTGTGCTTATTAGGTGCATGTAAACACTGTTTTGGGATCTTCAGCTCCTCCTCTGTCAGTAAGACTCAAGCAGGTTTTTGTCTCAGGTTCAAAGGATGCATCAATAGTTGATCAGGTGCTAAGAGCCTATTGTGTTTGATATCCATGACCACATATATGACTCTTCTGTTTACATTCTTGTTATATTTGTGGCATCTTTTGTTTCTTTATACTTTGTATAACTTTCTTCCAAATGCTTCAGGACCTCAAGTTTGATCCTGAAAATAAAGTACATTTGGGTGCTCTGCCAGAAAGCATTGATGTTGGAAGTTACATTTTTAGTTTTGAGGTATGATCTCATTCCTTGTTTCCTTTTGAGATTTGCTTCCTTCTCGTTTTTATCTTTCCCCATTCTTTAGAATGATATCCATGGTTTTCTTTCTTTTCTCTCGGCCTTGTTTTGCAGATTGTTCTTCATGATCCAGAGCATAAAAAAATCTATGCTACAGGTGGAAGAAGCAAATTCCCCATATATGTCACAGGAGTTGTCACAGTTGAGCATGCAGAAATTGCTATTCTTGACAGTGATCTTGGAAATGTGGAGGCTAAAAAAAAGTATTTTGATATATTTCTTCCTCATTCCTATTCCACATTTTGTTTCTCTCATCATATGCGTGCAGCATTACTAAAGAATGTTCTGTTTGTTGACATTAAATTTTTTACAGTCCAGTAGTAACAAGAGTGTCTATGATGAAATCCTACTTGTATTAAACCATTACATTTGGGATATCATCATTTTCAGCTTTTCTTAAATATAGTTGTAGCATCTACGTTCTTTGTACTCCGTAATTTATTTTTTCTAGTTTGCCAACTTGTACACCACTTGCTTGATATGCCCTATATTATGAATTTGTTATTGTCATGCATGGAGTCATCTCGTACTACTTCTGTTAAATCAATTAGTATGAGCTCAGAGTTCATTGGTGCATGTATCCGTGTATAGGTTTAGAAAGAAATTTGATAATTTTTCGTTTTGCAAGGAAGTTCAGTCAATTACTTTTTGCCTTAATGCTTCCATAAAATTTTATTGAATACTGATTTTCTTTTTTGTGTGAACTATGATGCATAATTAGTGAGGATTGAGTGGTATCAACTCTTTTACTAAGTGTTAGGAGATATTGAGGGAGGTTGGATTTTGAATTTGAAATGAGTGGTGAGAGCTCTGATAAACCTTCTACTAGCATGTATAGATACCTGTCTTGTACAATTCCTTTTCATCAGTTCAATACATACACAGTTCATATTCTACATACATGTTCTACACTAAGCAGGTCAGTGGTCATGGAATATTTGGTGCATGGTTTTGCATTCATCCTACTTTTCCTGACTTGGTGCTCATGTGACCGCTTAACCTATTCATTAACATTTGTCAGGCTGAATTTTGCTGGGGAGGAATCTGTCTCTCTACAAGCAAACCACCTTCAGAAGCTGCAGCTAGATTTTCAGTTGACCACTCCTCTTGGGCATGCTTTCAAACCGCACCAGGTTGGCAGCCTGGTTTATTTGTTTATTTTCCTTAGGTTGTATTAGTCATCTAAATACTTAATATGCTACCTTTATGCAGGTATTCCTCAAGTTGAGACATGAGAGCAAAGTGGAACATATCTTTGTGGTGGGAAACTCTGGAAAGCAGTTTGAGATAATACTAGTTAAGTTCTTTAAATCATTTATTTGTGAAACTTGGATCAATTTCTTTACCTTTAAATGTATCTGCAGTTCTGCACAGTTGTCATATTACAATTTGTAGACATTACATTTTTTTGTTTCGGCTATTTTGCTCAATCCTATCCAACAGATGCTTAATGATCTGGAATGCTCTTTCATGGAAGTAGTGATATTCAGTCATCATTTTTGGGGAATAGAAAGTTGTGCTCAGTGATGTTATTTATTCATTCATGCAGCCTTTCATCAATTCTCCATCTCTAACCTTGGGTTCTTGAATGGAATTCTGTGTTGTTAGGATTTTCTTGGACTCGTTGAGAAGCTTTTCTATCTGTCAGGGAAATATGACATTCAACTCACAATTGGTGATTCTGTTATGGTAAGCATGCTTTGATTAAAAGTTAAAATGGGCATCTTCCTCCTCCCCAACCCCTGCTCTGCGGTAATTCCAGATACCACAGCCCATGAAAAAGAAACAATTATGGAACCTTGGGCTGTGGCAAAGGCTGTATTTTGGGCAAAAAACTGAGCTGGGTATTTTATCTTCTTCAGGAAAACTCTCTCTTGAAATCCCTGGGCTATGTTGAATTAGATCTGCCAGATCCTCCTGAGAAGGCAGCCCGTCCTCCTCCACAGCCCATTGACCCTTCCTCAAGATTTGGTCCCAAGGCAGAAATAGCTCACATATTCAGGGCTCCAGAGAAACAGCCTCCTAGAGAGCTTTCCCTTGCATTTCTGGCGCTTGTTCTCTTGCCCTTCTTTGGATTTTTGGTTGGGGTTAGTCTTCATCGTATATACTCTTTATGCCTGCATGATTTTTACTTCATGTCATAATGAATGTTTGATTGGTGTCTGCGTGATGGTGGGCTGGTTTAGAGCTCAATTCACCTAGCATTACTGGATATGTTTTTCTTTGCAATAGTTGTAACTTTTTTCATCACAGAAAAACCTGGACCATGATTTCGATTCAAGAACACTTCATTATCTTGTTTATTTTATTTCTTGACAGCTTTTATTGTTGCGGGTGAACCTGAAGAACTTCCCACATGTCCCAGTGCCTGCTACATTTGCCAGTCTTTTCCACGTTGGCCTCGCAGCTGTCCTCTTACTCTATCTTCTCTTCTGGCTGAAGGTTTACCCTTTGGACTTTAATTACTTAATGTTTTCAATTCATTATTTTCTGATCAGTATGGTATTTTTCCATTACTAATTATTTCATTAATTATTTCATCATTGAAGCGACCCTGAATTAGAGGTTTTCACCTCAAAATCTTACATGGTGCTTAGTCGAATGAAACTTCCATGCCACTCAAATTCAATTTTGACTTGTTTGTTTTGCAGTTGAATCTGTTCACCACATTAAAAGCTCTTGGAATCTTGGGAATGTTTTTGATGTTTGTTGGACACAGAACCCTCTCACACTTGGCTTCAACATCAGCCAAGGTGAAATCTGCATGACCTGCAGGAGAGTTACATATGACTTAGCAAAGCATGGAAGAAACAGAGTCATATTCTTGAGTCAGTTTTGTAGGAAATGCCACCAAACCATGTATTTATGACTTATGAGTTATGAGGATAGAATTTTTCCCCACAATCGTATTGAAAAATTCAGGATATATCTTTTTTCTTAATTGGTGTAGTTGTAGGCCTCTGAGATGTTAAATTTTGAATCAACTTTTATGTTCAATATGTGTGGCTAGTACTCCATCTATAAACTGCTCCTTAGTGTGCCATGACAATAAGATAGACGGTTAGTTTGATATAGATAGTTAATTTGATAATCACAATGTTTTTTGTTTGATTCTCTGTGAAGATTGTGTACTTAATTAATATTTTACGGGTGTTGTCTATTGATGTTATTGGTTTGAGTTGGTTAGTTATGGACATCCCGGCTAAGATTAAGGTAAATTTTTTATGAAGGTTCTATTTTGTAGAACTTATTTTAGAATATGTTTAGTTTATTTAAAACATAGGGTTAGGTAAACTTTTGACGAAGGTTCTATTTGGTAGAACTTATTTTAGAATGTTTATTTTAAAACATAGAGTGTACTCTGTAACTTATTTTATTTTGAAAAGCACTAGTAAAATATTTATTTATATTTTAAGAAATGTGGGATTGGCTTGCCTCATACTATAATGATCTAACTTTGGTGCCCTCACAATATATACATACTAAATATACATGCTACACTTCTACCGAGGCTGAACGAAATACCTCTTACATAGGAGAGCAATCACACTTCTATCGAGATTGAACCAAATACCTGGTACTGGGTAACAAAGGATAATATTAAACTGAACCAAATACTTCTCACATAAGAGTATTAGACTGAACCAAATACTTTTCACATAAGAGAGCAACCACAACAAGTCCAGAAGGTCCTGGGTAACAAAGAATAATATTAAGCACTTCTATAGTTCTATCTAGCATGGTTTAATGATCATAAATATTTTTATAGCGCAAATCAAAGTCAAAGCACAAGGAGTCAAGAACTGAAAATAACAGAAAACTTAATTAACACGTTTAAAAATAAAAAGTTTAACGTAGACCGGGAACGGACAGAGTTTACGGAGTTGTTGTGACAGGAACTGGAAGGATGGAGGAGACGGCATTATCACGCTCATCGGGGAGTCGAAAACGCCAACGCGAGCCTGAATCCGGCGATTCCGATCAATCTCTTTCACTCGGTGCGGCTCTGCATCCTTATGTTTCTGTATCTTTGGGGATTTTCCTTTTCTGACTAGTTGTTTGGATAAACAGAGGATAATTTGACATTTAGCGATACTATGGTGGCTCTTCGCATAATGCGTGCTCAGTTCCCGCACATTGAAAAGGTCCTCACTTGTTGCTTGCTTTGCTTAGATATGGCTGTTTTTATATTCACATCTAATTGCAGTTTTATGCTTCCCTTTATCATCACTTGCTAATCAAGACGAGAATTAGGAATTAGGAATTAGCTACTTTCAATTGCAAAGAACGCCCTTTTATCTGGTTTGGCAATTACTAAGATTTTAGATAAATTGGTATAAATCAAATACTGTGCTACTTATTAGTGACTTGTTAATGGAGGAGGAAGTTCAATTTGCAGAAACATTGAACAAATTGGGGGTTTGGCCTATGTTGGGCTTTTGACTAATGGGGTTAATCATGATATTTCAAATTCCTTGTAGTTGGGGTTTCTCCTTTTTTTTTTTTTTTGGGGTAACATTTCTGAAATTTCTGTTGTGTTTCCATTGATGATTTGAAAAGATTCTGTTTTTGAAGTATGGATATTTTGCAGGTTTCAATTCAGCCTTTTGTTTTGCAATCACAGTTGTATAGCAGTGTAAAAGACAGGACACAAGTAGATAGGGAATTGGAGGTACGGTCCTTACCCCTAGGCTCATAAAATGCACATTGAAGTTATTGAGTCACAAAGTTTCACAAATCTTGCTAAAAGATGCTCTATTTCAAGCTATATGTTATATTAATTGACTGGCGGTATGGCTGCAAATGAGATCAGCTTGAACAAGCTTGAGTTTGACTAAATAGGCTTGAGTTTACCTCATTTCATTATTTGAGCTGAGCCCAAACATCCTAAAATGCACGAGTTGAGTTTGGTTTGGCTCATATTTAATCAAACCAAGCTCTAACGCCCTATATATCTGCTTGGCTCTGCTCATTTATCATCCTAGATGGTGGTGACTTGTTACATTTTTCTAGTGCAGTCATTGAAGAGGGAGAAAGCTTTACGCATTTTTAAGTTGAATACTGGACAAGATGATCATGCTATTATGCTCATAGATGACTATTTAAGTCAGGTTGGTGGATAATTTATTTTCTGTTTGTTGATTCTTCTATTCTGTTGCATTTTGAATTTAATCCCATTATCTTGAGTAGTGTATTGGTCATCCTTGCATGTTGAATGACCATGAGATGATGGCTTTATGAATAGGCTATGCTTATTAATACATGATAGCCAGTGAGAAGACTTGATATACGGGAGTGCTTAAGCCTTAGGAAATTTCTTGACATTGTTCAAGCATTGATGTCGGACATATTAAAGGAGACAATTTTCATATAGTAGTTACACTTTCCTTTTGTCATCCCCATAGTAATTAAATTTGAGGCTAATTAATTTTAGATCGAACGTGTTATTAAGAGAATGGAAGAAAAGAAGCAAGATGATCTTCCAGTTTTTGAATGGTTCAAGACACATGTCATTTCTTCAAAGTTGGATCCTAGTATTGGGCATGATGAACTTGTAAGTTATCTTTTTACTGCTAAATTATACAAATCTATAATACTATTATATTCCATACATGCATACTTTGGTATAAGTGGAAACACATCAAACTTTACATATTAGTTTATACTTTATTGCATGTGGTTTAACACTCTGTTCTCAACATTGTTCTCTATTTTCTTCCGGTCTATAATACTCTGTGATTTGTGTAAAGCTTTATTATCATGGATATAGTAAGGTGTTGGGCTTGTTTTATATCAATGAATATTTTGTAACAACCCATCTGGACATGTATGTTGATATTCATATTTATTTTCCTTAATATCTACTAACATTGCGTGAATTCCTTTTATAGGGCATGGCCTTCCCAATTGATATAAAGACATAAGTTTTCTTAACAAATGTTGCGTTCTTTGGGCTGATGTTAAATGCAGTGTTCCCTTAAGTATGGCCCTCTATATCAACCTTTTTCATATGCATCATATTTGTGATTTCAAAGCATTGTGTGCTTTCTGAGGATATTTCTCATCAATATAATAATTCACCATTATCAAAGGAAAGCTACATATATAATAATTGACTAGTTGAGTGGGACAACTGGACAAGGTAGATTGTAAGAAAAATTTTCTCTCTATGTTAGTGAAAAACAAATTAATTGCTAACAGGCACTTTTGTTGTTCTTTCTAATTTTTTTTTTTTAAAAAAATGTTTTACTGATTGAATAAGTAGAAAGTTGAATAAGTTTTGTTAAGAGTCCCACATTTTGATAAAATAAGAGAGAATATATGGGTTTATAAGGCCATGGGTTAGACTAGCTAATTGGTCGGATTCAATCTTTTAGTGTGGTTTGGTCCATGTGCATTATAGTCCAATTGAGTGACCCTAGCCCAATCTTAGTTTATAACAAAAAGTATTGAAAATTTTCCTTTTGTAACAACTAACAAGGTCCTTTTATCATGACACTTCAGTTTATTTCTGTCCTCACAATAAAATTTAGAGGAAGGGGAGAGTATATAGTATAGACATAATTTTGTATGGGAAAATTTCTAGATTCTAGAATATGTTATTCTTTCTTTCAGATATGCATGCCATATCTTTTTTATCCTTGATATGCAAACTCCATATATGTTGATTTCTTGAATTCCTTGTAGTGCTCTCTTCTCTCGCTGGGAGGCAAGGTGAAAGAGGAACATGTCTCCCTCTTGATTAATGCTGGCCTTCTTGTAAGTAGTATAGAATTTTATTTTCATTTCAAGTGCAACTCTTTTCATGACATTGAGTTTTATTGGCTATATTTATGCTCATAAGAATATGGTAATAGTAACTTATTAAAAAGGGGGAAAAAGAAGGTTAATTAATCCTGTACTGTTTTTATATTCCGTAATCTGCCTTCAATGCAATTGTTATATACTTTTTGAATTATTATATGCTCTTTCAATGATTCTTTGATCCATATAGTTGTTTCAACATGCAAATTTCATAATGTATCTATTTTAGCCATGTTCATCATGTTTGAAGAATAATTTCCTCTCTGTTTTTGCTGCTTTTCTTAGACTCGCCAACTTATTGATCCAAACATGTACTGGTTTGCAATTCCAAATGTTGGACCGGTGCTCAAGGGCCTTTCACAGGTTTGATTTGATGATTATTTTGAGAACATATTTCCTCAAGTGATCTTATATTTGATACAACTTGGTTTCCAACACAATTTGTAACAATTGACCTTGCTGCTAATATCAGGGAAGAAAGGAGCTTTTATCTTTACTCAACCGAAGAAAGTTCAAAGAGATGATGATGGCCACTCTGGAAAAGAAACGCCTTCGACTTTCTCCCCTAGATATGAGATTTCATCTCCGCGATTTGATCGGATCTGGTCATCTCCGAACTGTTGAGGCACCTAGTGGCCTAATTGTCAAGGTAGCGAAAGATTGAGACTCAGGTAAGGGAATTTTCTCCATATGTGTTTTCTGCAAGTTAAAAGGAATTATCTTACTTCAAAGCTCATAACTTTTTGTTGCTCCAAGAATAGTTACTTTATTGCCATGGCCTTAGATACACATTCTTTCTTTTTTTGTTTTGGGTAGTCAAAGAAATACTTGAATATTAGGTGTAGCCGTGTAGGATTATATTCTGCAAAGTAAGATAAGTACTTAATGACATTCCACGGGAATCATGTTTGTGCAGATGCTGAGCTATTTGAAAAGTTTCAAGTGATGATCAACGAACCAATTTTCATGTGTAAATAATTGCTCCAAGAAGGGCGGCTTAGAGGATTTTTGCTTGATTAATTGGGTACAGACAACATAAGAATCATTTGATGATGCATCAAACATCAACCATTTAGCCTAGACACATCAACCAAGATTATTGTAATGAAGAGGAGACCCATCAACTTTACCCAAAAAAACAAAAAAAAATATGGCCCTCAAAATTGATTGAGTTGAGTTCCCATCCATTGTGTAGAATTTTGAGTTATTGAAAGTTCAAATCATATCTTTTTGGGCTAAATTCATTTTTAGCATTGCTTTTCCTCTGTTTTTTCTCACTCATTCATTTTTGGAGGTTGCTTGTGTCCAATAGCCTTAGAGGATATTACATTGGGCTTTCACATCCCTAGTGGAATCTGCTCTAAGCTCCAAATTTATGGATGACCCTTTACCTTCCTTTTGTTTTATTGTGTCTTTTACCATTGTTATTTAGCACTCCAGCCAGCAGACTAAAATATTGCTGATTTTTTGGCCTTCAAAATGGTTTCTGACCCCTCTGAATCCCAATTCCTGAAACTACTAGCATACCATGAAATAGGCTTCATGGACACCATATTTGTAGGTACCAGTATGCCGTTGAAGCATATCCCGGGATTACCTCCACGAAAGTTCCAGAACAGGAGCACGTGGAGGTTCTCGGGATTGGGGTGCAATCCTTTTTAAGTTTACGTCATCATAGTCATGCGTATATGCTAGAAACTTGTCAAATGTGATGATGATAAGCTTGGTATATCAATAATATTGGATTAGATTCTGCTTGAAGCAAGGGATCTTTCATCTTTAGAAAGGATATTGAAGTCACTGTTAGAGGAATATGCCACTTTATCTGAACTGTGACCTGTCTGGATATGTATACAATTTGGTTGAGCTGCATGTAGAAGCATAACATTCTTGTTTTAAGGATAGAATTAAATAGAAGTTATGACATTCTATTTCCAGGTACTGTGTGTTGTGTATGGTGTACTGTGTGTGTATTTTTTTTTTTTTTTTTTTTTTTTTTGGAGTAACGAGATAAACCCGCAGCTATTATCCAAGAGTGTGCACTAGATAAATCTACTCTTGTATAATAACTCACAAACTGCACTAAGAAGACCATATGTGATGGGTTCAACCTAGAGGGTGTTGACAAGAATTAAACATGAGTGTCAACTACCTGGAGGTGTGCACTAGGTATATTCATTTTTTTTTAATTATTTATTTATTTATTTTTTTTTTTTTTTTGTAATAGCTTGCGAATCGTAAAATTTAATGGATTCAACTGAGAAATATTGATAAAAATTAAATTCATGATCTTTTGATATAAGAATTATAATAATACACCCACTAGCTACCCCATTGGAGGCATGTATTGTTATGTTTTAGGATAGAATTGAAGTAATGATAATAGATGTGTCATTATCTGCATGGAATCTGTGATCAATCCCAGAGCTTTGCTTCAATTACGTGTATATCTAATAATCCAGTATATTATCCCAATTTTATAGTGCAAATATTGCCATGCAAGAAATTGCATAATAATTTTGTTTATTATAATGCTCTCTCATACATATTTTATATCCAGCATATCAGTTTCTGATACGTTCTCATATATTTTATTCATGTAAATATTATCGGAATATAATCTGTAACTTTCGATTTGTTTCTGGGTGACAACGATGGTTGTTGGTATACATTTTTACGTATCTCAGGATGAATATTCTATCTGTTATGGGGTGTTTGATTGAAAAGAGAAAATTAAGGTGAAAAAATTATAATTTCATGAAAAAAGAATAATGTGTGAATAAAGTAAAAATTTAAATTTTAGTATTCGATCTGGATTTCGCAAATAGCTTTGAAAATATGAAAATGAACAACTTTAACTGAGCTAACATGAGGTAGTTCATAAGAGGACTGGCAACTCTTCTGACTGATGACATTTCAAACTTTATATTTGTAAGAATTTAATGATATTACCAAATACTGAAACATTAGAATCGTGACAAAATGAAAAACAATATATATTAAGAATCAAATGAAGACCTATCCGGACTTATCTGATCTTTTCATTTAAATAAGTCAATGGCTGTGATTTAATTTTACGTAATTCGTTTAATTTCTTGTACTAAGTTTATTGTGCATTTGTTCTCAGTTTATTGTGCATTATATCCCAGTTTGTTGTGCATTCATAGTGTGATTGATATGCATCTATCCTAGTTCGTTGTGCAGTCCATCCCAGTTTGTTGTGCATTCATAGTGTTTTTTGTTTTTTCATAGCCGTTAGATCACTCTAAATTGATGATTTGGTGCGAATGCCGCTCATGTGCGAAATGCGAACCAATCAACGCGCGCATCACGTGTCCAGATCTAGGTGCGGCACATATATAGTTATAACTAGGTGCACCTAGGTTGTAGGTGAAAATAGGTGCACCTGATCAATGAATGTTAACAAGACAAAATTACATGCACTTGTGGGTGAAAGTAGAGGCAAAATTACATGCACTTGTAGGTGAAACTATGAAAGTAAGACACGTGGCATGCACTGATTAGTTCGCATTTTGCACCTGGGCGGTCATTAGCACGAGATCGTGCCTATATATATATATATATATATATATATATATATATATATATATATATATATATATATATATATATATATAGAGAGAGAGAGAGAGAGAGAGAGAGAGTAAATACCCAAAATGGTCCATCGACTATAGCTAAATTCACAAATTGGTCCTCAACTTTCAATTTCAACCAATTAAGTCCTTAACTTTGCAATTTTGACACGATTTGGTCCTCCATTTATTTGACCGTTTGTTGACCGTGATCGACGATCTCCAGAAGAACCTTCAGCTCTCGTCGGAAAACGTGGAGGCCTCCAGGATGACGTTGCACCGGTTCGGAAACACGTCGTCTTCTTCGCTCTGGTACGAACTCAACTACATTGAATCCAAAGGGAGGATGAAGAAAGGCGACCGAATTTGGTAGATCGCTTTCGGCAGTGGATTCGAATGTAACAGTGCGGTCTGGAAATGCAACCGGAACCTTAAAAAACTGACGATGGACCATGAAATTACATATATATCCTCGAAAATCACAGTCAACAAACGATCAAATAGACAAAGGATCAAATTGTGTTAAAATTACAAAGTTAAGGACTTAATTGGTTGAAATTGAAAGTCGATGACCAAATTGTAAATTTAGCTATAGTCGAGTGACCATTTTTGGTATTTACTCATATATATATATATAATATGTATGTGTAGTGTGTAATACAAGTATATGTGAGCTCCGATCCTCTGATAGTCCGATCCCGTAAATGTGGTTGTCGGATGGAGGTGACAAGGCGAAGCGGCCGCCGATGGAGGCGCCGTCACGGTCGTGGCGTCGCCATCAAAACTCACGTTACACAACAGTAGAGTGGGGGGACCAAAATGAATAAAGCAAGCCTAGCTGGGAGAAAGACAATCTTAAATTTGTTGGCGTTTCGTGCAACGCACACAAAAGGAATGACGAATCGTAGGATGATTTCTACCGATCCAGGAACAATCATCGTCTTTAATTGTTGGTAGCTTAGCAGCCATTACTAGCTTCTCCCATGCTCCAATAATTTCATATATTATATATATATATCATTATACAACGCCATGTCACATCATCGTTATCTCTTCTACAATAATATGTGCATCATCATTATCATCATATTTCTCTCTCTCTATCTCTCTCCCACATATACACATAAATATCATTGTATCAAAACCAATCATTTGTCATAATTACTTGTTTAATTAATTAACTCAACTTATTATACTAGTATGTAATTGGGAGGATTGTTATGCTCTGCATCCGTATATACCATGCATGGTGCATCCGGATGCAAAAACGACATCGTTTTGACGTCTAACTTTAAAAAAAAAATAAAAAATCAGAATTACATAACTATACATTCATAATTTCATAACTATACATCCAAAATTACATAACTACACATCCATAATTTCATAATCACACACACACACACACACACACACACACACACACACACACACACACACATATATATATATATATATATATATATATATATATATATATATATATATATATATATATATATATATATATATATATATATATATATATATATATATATATATAGGGAAGGGATCAGGTGCATTTGTGGCTTCCCGTGCGGATGTGCGGTGGATTAATGTGCGTGAGATTTGTACTCAATGTGCCTGAGATTTGTACTTAATCTGCGTCATGTTAATATGCGTGAGTATTGTGTTTAATGTGCGTGAGATTTTTGCTTAATGTGCGTGAGTATTTCAGAATTACGAGCTCAGAAGGAAGCAGAACAGAAACTCATGCACATTAACGACTAAGCTTCTTGTTACTTCTTCCTTCAATTTGGCCATGGATTCTGGATTATCAGCTACCTTCAGTGCAGTTGAATGTTTATATAAATGACGCACGCACAGTAAAATTTGCACAGCAGCTAAGTGTGGATTTCTGTTGTATTATTCCCATAATTCTTAACCACCATAGACCGCCTCCGCATCATCATCATCAGGGAGGGGGCAAATGGCTACTGGGGATGGGGAAGACGCTGACATCAATATTTTCTGCTGCATTTTACACATTCATGCACATTAAGTACAAATCTCAGGCACATTAAGCACAACACTCACACACATTGAGTACAAATCTCACGCACATTAATCCACCGCACATCCGCACGGGAAGCATTCAACCGCACGAGAACCTTTCACTATATTTTATATATATATATATATATATATATATATATATATATATATATATATATATATATACATACATACATATATATATATATATATATATATATATATATATATATATATATATATATATATATATATATAATATTCTTTTTTATTAATAATGAGATTTATAATTTATAATGTTCTTTATATTCAAATTATTTTATTAAATTAATTATATTTCATATTTTGTTATGAATATTTTTATAAAGTTTCGATGTGTTTTATTTTTCGTTCATATCCAACAATACTTACAACTATATTTCTTAGGTAAATAATGAGATGTAAAATTTATAATGTGTTTTCTATTCAAATTAATTATGTTTCATATTTTGTTATGAATATTTTTATAAAGTTTTGATGTGTTTTATTTTTCGTCTGTATCCAATAATATTTACAACTATATTTCTTAGGTAATTTATTTATTTATTTTTAAACTATGTCTTTTGTTTTAATGTTTCTCCTTTACTGGAAAAAATTTCTGAACCCATTTGTACTTTTTCCGCCTCCTCAACTGAATTTCTGGCTCCGTCCCTGCTTTTGAAGTAATGATAAGCACTTAATACTTTTGGCATAATGATGGCTAGCAAATGCTAGGTGGAGGCCTAACTATATAAGTTTAAGTACTGTCACATGATATCATAGAAAATTTACAATATATATATTAATTTACACAAATTAATACTCATTTTTGTGTAAAAGTACTATATATTAATTTACACAAATTAATACTCAATGTTTCATTTTATCTGTCATACTATTCATTGGTCAAACGAATTCTTTCTTCTTTTTTATTTTCTTTAGTAGTTTTTATTTATTTTTATATTTAATTTTTGTGTTTAATAGTACTATACTTTTAGCGTACTTTATAAATATATAAATTTTATATATTAATACTAAACTTAATATTAATTATGAAAAATTGAATTAAAAATAACTTTACTCAGATCTAGTTAACCGAATTATCAAACACATAAAATGGGACGGAGCTAAGGGAGAATATATATTTGTTATTTTTATATCTATATAATAAGCATTGAAGCTAACTACTATTTGACATGGATCATGTGTGCCTTCTTCGAGTATGAGATGGATAAAATATTTGTCTGTTTATATGCATCTCAATTAATAAGTTCCATTTTTCTATATACGCAAATAATAGCAACAATGGACCCTCCCAAGTCCCAATGAACATTGCTAGCTATATCCAAAGCTTACATTTACATGCAATCATATATTATTATCTTAATATATAGTGACTTCTCTCCTATTCTATACGTCTTATATTACTTTCTTAATTGGTCTTAAAAATATTATCTAATTTCACTTTCTGATAAATGATAATTAACACATAATATATTAGAGATGAGCAGGGACGGAACTACCTTTGGGATTTAGTGGGCCCTGCCCCTCCCCCCCACCCCCACCCCCTCCCATCCATACCCTCACCCTAAATTTTTTCGTAAATATGTATGTATATATTAATATAATAAGAATAAAATACATTTTTGGTCCCCCTCTAATTTTTTTTTTAAATAATCTATTATGTTGATATTAAATGAACTCAAAATATATATTAAAGTTCAAAATTTATTAAATAAAAAGAAATAAATCAAATAACTAAAGTGACCATTTTTCTTTATTATCTTATTTCTTTTATCAAAATTTTAATAATGTATGGTATATATAATAATATGGTGCAGTTAATTATAATGTCGACTAACATTGTAAATTTTCTCTACTACACTGACCCCCAACTCAAGTTTTCTGAGTACGTCCCTCGAGATGAGACAACTAATCGGGTTACCTAGCTAGATAGGTTGGTAGGTTAAAAACAGCTTTCAAATGCAAGTACTACTGGACCCTGCATTCTAGCTAGGATAGGACGATGCTACTACTTCATGCTAAGCTAGCCTGATGTTCTTGATTACCAATCAAGCAATAATGCACGCAGACACACATACACATATATTATTATCATCTACGTGTATTGAGTATTGACAAAAAAATACAAATTTGATCCTTTCCAATTATAATAAAGCTGCGCTGTCTATGAAAGATGCATGGCTACCTTAGGTTGTTTGATCATCAACGTAATATAATTAAGGTCATGACTCATGACTTGTTTCCGTGTGTGGGTCATCCTATATAGTACTTAAATTGACGACTCATGCATAATAAGCATGAATGCCCTAATATATATATGAATGAGTTCTGGTGCGAAGATAGCTTCCCGTGCGGTAGTGCGATTAACACAAAACGACGCACCTTAAATACATAAACCGCGCACCTTAAGAACACAAACAAAACACCTTAAGAACACAAACCACGCACCTAAAGTTTTAAAATGGCGCACGTTAAGTACAGAAACCATGCACCTTAATCACACAAACAAAGCGCCTTAAGAACACAAACCACGCACCTAAAATTTTAAAATGACGCACCTTAAGTTTCAACAACGTAACTGACTCACCTTAAGTATACAAATCACGCACATTAAGAAGGAAAACCACACACCTAAAGCTTTAGGCCGACGCACCTTAAGTTTCAACAACTGACGAACCTTTAAGCACACAAACTATGCACCTTAAGAAGGAAAATCACGCACCGAAAGCTTTAGATCGACGCACTTAATTTTTTAACAATTGATGCACCTTAAGCCACATAGTACAAACCACACACCTTAAGAAGGAAAACCACGTTATTTTGATCTAGATGCAAAATAACGAAATTGCCACCGCATTTTTTTTTTAATCATTGTTAATCCTGGACGTTGATTTAGGCAAGATCAATGACTCATATTTAACCACACAACCGCACGGGAACTGAATTATATATATATATATATGGATTTTAAAAACAATTACAAATTGGGCTCAATTTCACCATATCACAAATTGGTCCAATCTCCATGCACTTAGCCTGAAATTAAATCTTATATACTATATATACACATACTTTTTTTTTTTATTTGTTTAAATATGGAGCCCCTAAAAATTGAGAGCCCTGTGCGGTCGCTCATGGTGGAGATACTCAGAACCGGTCTAGTCATATACATATTTGGACTAGGAGTTGTCTGAAAGTGAATATGTTTGTCCCATAAAATACTCAAGAAAATATTTAACTACTATTTTTTTGTACTATAATTTCTACCATTGGGTATGTATATTGAATTTGGAGTAATGATTTGAGATTGGAGCAGTAGTTATATATGCAATGTGGTTTAAGGATGATGATGAAACTAATTAGCTTAAAGAAGAATGTAAAGCATCCACGCGGCGGATAATGGGAGGATTGTGGTGAGAAGTTGTGACCTAAACCTTGGGACACACGCATTACTCTTTTCTTTCATCCATCCTCCTACTACATACCTTAGCTACAAGCTACCAATTCTAAAACAACACCCAATATAATGTCTTTGTCATATGATTCTGCCTTAAACTTGACACCTGTCACTACTACAAACATGCCAAGTATATATGTATAACCATGCCTTAATGGGGTGTTTAGTAGGATGTAATTGTAATTTCATTATTCTTATCAAACTCGATGAAATTATAATTCCATGGTTTAGTTGAAGGGAATTGTAATTTTGTGAAATTACAATTCTTATGGTCCCATGGTAAATGACTGTTTTATCCTTATTGTTATTGTTATATTATTATTAAATAAGAGTATTTTAGTCTTATTTACTTCTTCATTTTATATTAATGTCCTACCAAACAATGTAATTTAAATTTTCACTTTATTCTTTTCCCACCGAATTACAATTCTTTTTCCCCTAATTCATTCCTCCCAAGTACCAACGGGCATGTGTAGTGCACGTATCTACTAGGTAGTGTTAGTGAGCACAATGTGCACCAGTTGAATTTTTTTTTTTCCAAAAAATACGTATTTATTTTTTCGAATTTGATTCTATGAAAATAATCTTAAGAATTGATGAATAACATATCATTTTTCCCTAATAGTACGTCTTTCTTTGTGGAAACAAAAACAAAAACAAATAAATCAGTACATGCTCCATCCGCTCAACCACTCCGGCCACCACTTATTCGGGACTTTAATTTATTTATATTTTGTGTATAATAGTTGATGTTTTTCTCATTATTAATTGCCTAGGAGACAATAAGATTAATTGGGATTTGTTGCCGACATGTTTTCTTAATTGCTTGAAATATAGCAAATAAGACAGCATAACAGTCCAAAATGGCTAAAAACGTGTGGAAACCCAAAGCCGATTAGATTAATAATAGTAATTGTAGTGTTATAGGTTTGGTAAAGATGTCTGATTCTATTGTCTCTAATATTTGCTCCTACGATCTTAATTCCTGCAGGAACCATTGATTAAAGGCAATTGGTATATAGGTAGAATGGATTGTTATTACTTAAACAAAAGTGTATATATTAAGATTCAAAAAAAAAAAAAAAATGTTATAGGAGGTTGTAACACATGAAAGAGTGTATGTCGTAATGTCTAGAAATTGAATACTTTATATTAATTTGTATTTTTGTCCATAAAAAGCGAAAATCCCTTACGACTGTCACTCAATTCTACGTTCTTGTCTACAATCTACCACCAGAAACCAACAATCACCCCCCCTCCGGGAGAAGCAAGCTATAACTAGCTAGTAGCGAATGTACAACTTTACTCCATTTATCTGCATAGTAACGCCACGCTTTTATGACAGAATGTTGTATTTAGTTCTTCAAATTACCGTTCAACATATCTAAATATCAATTCAATTACGTACCCTTTAGCTCAGAAGCTTTAATTTATTTACAAGTAACCCTAAAAGATTGCCAAAAACACTGGGGTTTTGATTTTTTTTGCTAATTTTGGCTCCCCACATTAACCAAACCTAAGGGCTACATATATACTGTACCAAAGATTGTGATGAAGAATACTGAAAGTATATATTATATATTATAATGCAAATTGAAAAATAAAAGAAATGAAAAGCTTCTTTATGAAAAAAGTTGCAGTGCAGTGCAGTGGTGCAAGTTAAGAAGCATCCTCAAAGACAGCAACTTTTGTGATACATATCATTTCTTAAGAAAAAGCAAAGCTAAAAAATATGCTCTAACCTTTTTGTATTTGTCAAAAAGTGTGCAGTGCAATATAACATTCTGAACGTGCGATTGTCTCCATATACAAGATACAACAAGTCTTTAACTGCTTAATTAATCGTTGCAACTTTTTATTATATATCTTATCTTATCCCCCAAGTTTCACATATATCACACATACATCGCAATTTATTGTTATCGGACGGCTATAAATCTTCCATTTTTGGGCATGATCCAATACTTAATTAGCGGCATATGGCCATTATGTTGTGGTCTAATTTGTAATAGAAATAACCATTAGCATTATGAAGTCTATAAATGTGGCACCTAGGTTATATACCGGGGTGGACCCAGCATGGGAGCAGCTTCCCCCACTCCCTCCCAACCCCACCCCACCCCTATATTATCCTTGTATGTATATATGTATATATAGAACAGGTTTTACGTATAAGTATAATAAAACACAAAAATGTTAACAAGTGTTAATTTGGTTCAGTTGGCAGGGTGCGTATCAGGCCTTTGGTAAAGTAATACATTTTTTATTCTGATTATTTTATCAAAATAATTATGTTTTATATTTTATTATGAATATTTTTATAAGGTTTTGATATGTTTTATTTTTTACTCGTATCTAAAAATATTTATGATTATATTTTTTTAAGTGTTTCATCTTTTTTTTTTTTCAAATTAACTTTTTCGTTGTAATGTTCCGCCCCCACTGACAAAAAATCATGAGTCCGCCACTGGTTATATAAGTGTTTGGTCATCTCAGTGCTCGTGTCACAACATATATTACATCTAGTTTGCTTGAGATTAAGTGAGAAGCAATTTCTCTATTACAGTTTTATAAGAGCTAAGGTTGCTCGATTATATAATGTTTTTGCTGAAGATTAGAATTTGTTGCAGTTTTATATGTATAATACATGTATATAATTTGGTAATTCCTATCACCAACCGTGTCATATGTATTTGCTCGAAATCACTAGTAAAATGCATGTTTAAACATATAAAAAGAAGCCTAGAAGATCAAGTCTAGTATTCCATCATCGAAACGTAGCATCAATTGCTATGTAAGTATAAACAAATAAAGTTGTTTTTTTTATTATTAAATATAACCTTTTTTGGTAACAAGAAAAGCCACAACCATTATTCGAGAGTGTACAGGATAAACCTCGCTTGAGTCGCTTCTATTGGGTAAAAAAAAAATTCAAAATCACTATTCATAAATGTGCACGGAATAAACTTCATTGCAATGTAATAATCCGAAAATCACATTAAAAAGGTAAACCATGCACACTAGAAAGCCTCTGTGCTTCAGACTAACATACATAACGGTACCCAAAGAAAAAAAGAATTAAAAAAAAAAAAAAAAAAAAAAAAAAAACCAACTAACCCAATGCGATTAAATAAAGAAAGAGGGAGACAGCAGTTAATTCCGTTGTAAAAGGAGTACAGAATCATTGAGGAACACAACATGTAAGCGATTGGATGTGTTGAAAACAACCTGTTTGTAATGAATCTTAGGATAATCAATACAATAATCCAAATTAAATAATTTTAGGATTGTAATTAACTTTAGTTTAGTAGCAGCCGAAAAGGGAGGGGCCCTAAAATTAAGATGTTCTTTTGCTGACTTGTCGAAATTGTGATGGATGAAGGGAATTTCAGATTGGGAATTTGGGATATCAATAATTAATCAATATCATCAAGAATATAATTATTATAATAGTAAAATATATTAATTATTCTTGATAAAAAAGTAAAAAAAAAAATAAAAATAAATTAATATTATTGTCGAGACAAGGAATTTGTGAGTGACATGTGAAAGGCCCCATTGGTTGTCCCCATAGAAAGCCCATAACTTATGGAAGTGAATTAACTAAATGGACACTTTGGTGTGGGGTGGGGGGGAAATTATTGCTTCATTTAATTCCAAATTAGATAACGAATACTAAGTCGTCACTCTTTCACCAACATCCACACGCACAATAATATCTGAATATGCACACCCAAAAATAGGATTAAATAATCCTTAATGGGATGATTGAGTGGGTGCAAGTATGGAGTATAATTCTCGTATCAAAAGGTCATGAGTTTAATTTTTATTAATATTCTTTTGGTCGAGTTCGTCGCATAACAACACATAGTATTCCAAGGGTGGTTTACTTTTGCATGGTCGGTATGTTTTGCGGGTTATTATATAGTATCTGACAGGGATTTACTCAATACAAACACTCAATTTGTGGCTGCGGTAAAAGTGAAGGCCTCTACTTAAAAAAAAAAAATTCATTTGTCATAATATTATATCGAGGTTTGTCATGATATATATATTACATCTAGTATTAAAGGTGTAATTTTATTTCTTTATATTTGTATATATAGCAACCAAACTAAACTACACACATTTCGATGGCTAGACTTGGCCCTAGCTCCAAGTCTTCGCTCAATAGTATCATGTAATGATGATTTCAACTATAGCGTTTCATGTTAAATGGTGAGCTAGTACATAAAATATTAATTATGTTACACAATCCAATACTTACAAAAAATCATGATGCCTAACTAATTTTCAATAAAATGAGGTTCCGCCTCATCATTAAAATTCTTGTCTCAAAACTTTGGCCAGATCAGATAAACAACATCTCTTGAGGCTATGGCTATTACACTATTTATTAGTACACACAATTATGCTATCAAACTAGCAACCTAACCCATTCTAATTTCTTACTTGTTTACTTAGTTTATTCAAAGCACAATAATGATTAGAAAAATTAAAAGGCCAATGGGGGCTCAATTATGCTCATCCGATCCCATGCAATAAAGATAAAATAATGACAACCTTATTATTAATAACAATAATTAATATAAATAATAAATATAAAAAAAAAAAGAAAAAAAAGAAAATAAAAGGGATCTCATTTGATGTATATATATAACATCAAAGGCACATCGAAAAGGTTAGTGTTGAGACACGACAAAAAGGGAAATCTTAAAGTTGGATATCACATGCATGCATAAGTACTCCTGAAGTTAAACTCACACTGGCAGAACCACTTGGGACTTTTGGAATAAATAATAATAATAATAATAATAATAATAATAATTGTCAGGATTTAGTGCGGCTTACCACTATGCCAAAAGTTATAGCTTATAGCGAATGCACAATTTTATTTCATTATACTTACATGGCCTGCCAACCTCGACTGCACATCATGCTTTCTATGAGATTCAAAATCCGTGACCTACTCTGATACCAATTTTCAGATCAAGCACTTACTATTATGTCAAAAGATATAGCTTGTAGCAAATGTGCAACTTCTTTCATTATACTTGTGTAGCAGTTAACATAAATTTCGATCGTAAGATGTTGGACCTGGCTCTCCAAGTTACCATCCGATATGATGAATTGATAATAATAATAATAATAATAATAATAATAATAACAACAACAACAACAACAACAACAACAACAACAACAACAACAACAACAACAACAACAACAACAACAACAACAACAACAACAACAATAATAATAATAATAATAATAATAATAATAATAATAATAATAATAATAATAATAATAATAATAATAATAATAATAATAATAATAATAATGTAAGTGTAAAGCTGGATATTAGGTGTTATGTTGTGTCATTGCTTTGTTCTCTAATACGGTAGTCATATGAATTGAAAGATGTTATTGCAACAACATAATCACAAATCTTGGTTTACAATATGTCCAAAATTTGCACGAATATTTTAATGTAAAGTTGGAACAAGAATTTAACTTAGATTTAATTTTGAAGCCAACAACCTAGCATCAATAGTAAGTTGTTCCAAATCTTTGCTTGTCATTGTTTAATTAGAACAAGAAACACCACATTGACATCACTTTGTAGAATTATCTCCATTTTGGGAAAAAAAAATTAAAAAAAAAAAATTATGAGGGTTGTTTATCCCCCACCCTCCTCTTTTAATAAAACAATAAAATTCTAACAATTATTTTTTCTTTTATAAGAGATGTATTTGAATTTAAGATTTTGTATGATCAAACAATAGACTAAAGAATATGGTCAGAAAGTCTATTGAGGTTTCTAACTACTGGAAGGTAGTAAAAAACCTTATTTTTTAGGTAAAAAAAAATAGACTTTCTGACCAACCTTTAATTCAACCTTAGTTTTTAGGTAAAGATCTTAGTTGGGGATACGAAAAATCAATTGTCACTATTACTGAACACCCATTGAATGTGGTTATTAATTAGTAACACCAACCACCAATCAAGCTTAATGAAAAATTTGACATGCTAGGTGACGGACGTGTTCAAAATTTCTAACCATCAATAACTGAAAAAGTCAAAATTAAATTAGGGTTCTTTTTAATTATTGCTCACTTTGTTAGATCTAAATACTATAACTATAATAAACCCGATCTAAATACTCTAACTATAATAAACCATAGTATACGAGAAACCTGACCTCGTATGATAGCGGAAGCGTAGCCATAGTTGATATTCCTGTTGTGTTGCCTCTTAACGGTAGACCGTTAGCCATGTTTTGCCTCAGACCTGACTCAGAACCCTAGATGGTGTATTGGTATCTACTGAGCAGTCTGAGTACCGTAACTGAATGTGCTATCTAATCCATAAACCTGTATCCCATCAATCAATGTTTATATTAGGCACAGCGTTTAGTTGACTAACAACTACTAGTTATTAAGTCCAACCAGACCACTTAATAAGCCCAGTCAACTTGCACCACCACTACAAGAAAAATGCACATAGACAACACTAGAAAGACAACAGTTTTTAAGAAAAGTGTTGTCTTTAGTATAAAAGACAACGGTTTTGTCCAAAACCGTTGTCTTTGATGCAACACTTTTGTCAAAGACAACGGTTTTTACTTAAGCGTTGTAGTAAGTGTGTTGTCTTTGTGCATTTTGTGAAAAAACAACACCACAACGACAACGGTTTTTTAAAACCGTTGTCTATGTGCGTTTTTTTTTTAAAGACAAAGGTTTTTTTTACCGTTGTCGTTTGTGTGTTGTCTTTAAGCGCAATGAAATAAACAACACTAGAAAGACAACGGTTGTTTAAAACCGTTGTCTTTGTGCATATATTTTTTTTAAAAGACAACGGTTTTTTTTAACCGTTGTCGTTGGTGTGTTGTCTTTAAGCGCACTCGAATACACAACACTACAAAGACAGCGGTTTTTTAAAACCGTTGTCTTTGCGCATTATTATTTTTTAAAAGACAACGGTTTTATTTAACCGTTGTCATTTATGTGTTGTCTTTAATAGCATTTGAATACACAACACTACAAAGACAACGGTTTTATAAACGTTGTCGTTGCGCATTATTTATTTGTTTAAGACAACGGTTTTAGTTGTTTTTAAGTGTATTTAAATACACAACACTATAAAAATAAAGATGTTAACAACAAGAGTTAAACCTATGACCTCAAATATAACAAATAAGGTCTAACCAACTAAACAACACAAACACTTATGTTTAGAAGTGCAACATCTGGTATATAACTGTGTTGGTTCGGTGTTGTTTGTGAAAACCAAGACAAATTTTAGAAAAATAGTTTAAGGATCCCCTAGGAAGAATGGAACCCAAGACCTCTAACATAATAAATTAAGCTAAACCCACCAAGCCACACCAACACTGGGGTAATTAAACGCAACATCTATACTATATAGCCAGTTTGCTTCTGTGTTGTCTTTGAAAACAAAGACAATGATTGTATAAAATTAATTAAGGATACCACCACTAAGGATTGAACTCAAGACCTTTAACATAACAAACAAAGCTTAATCCACCATGCTACACCAACACTTACATAGTAATGTGCAACATCTAGTATATAACCAGTTTGCTTCTGTGTTGTCTTTGAGAACCAAGACAATAAAATAGTTAAGGATGCCACCATGAAGGATTAATCCCAAGACCATTAACATAACAAACAAAGCTAAATCCACCAAGACACACCAACTCTTGTGTATTAAAGTGTTACAGATTATATTTTACCTATAATTTAATAGTCCAATTTTCGTTCACATTTAAATATAAAATTATTCACCAAAATTTAAATGTCAATTCATTAAAATTTTATTTTCAATTAAGACCGTACCAATCTATGAATTCAAAAATAAAATAAAAATTATCAAGTATAAAAAATTACAGATTATATCTATAATATTTTTTTAAAAGAGTAGTTGATCGATGCCGTACAGTTAGCCATATATATCCCATTTCTTTTAATTTGCCGTGATCTTAGCTTTAATTTGTAATATAAATATATAATTGGGCCGCGAGCTGTCTGGGTAATAAAGGGCAAATTATGCTGTGTAACCGTGCATGGTGCATACTGTTCTATCGTCATAATTACCGAACTATATATATATATATATATATATATATATATATATATATATATATATATATATATATATATATATATTTTTAAAAGAGTAGTTGATCGATGCCGTACAGTTAGCCATATATATCCCATTTCTTTTAATTTGCCGTGATCTTAGCTTTAATTTGTAATATAAATATATAATTGGGCCACGAGCTGTCTGGGTAATAAAGGAGAAATTATGCTGTGTAACCGTGCATGGTGCATACTGTTCTATCGTCATAATTACCGAACTATATATATATATATATATATATATATATATATATATATATATATATATATATATATTCATAATTTTTGAATTGAAATTCATATTCATAACGATTGAACTCTGATCTATATTCACAATTACAGGACTTTATGTTCATAATTTTTGATGTTCATATTCCCAATTGTTGATAAATAGGGATGTCAATCGGGCCAATCCTATCGGTTTCGGGCTAGCCCTGTTGGGTTGTCGGGCTAATCGGTTCGGGCTAATCAATTTATTAATATTTTGGCGGGGACAGAGAATCCCCGTCTTCGGTCAATAATTATTCCATGTATGTTAGGTTTCACATCACTTTTATAATAAAAAATAATTTTTAATAGTTAAGGTTATCGGGCTAGGCCTTTTAATTTCGAGCTAGCGATATCGGGTCATCAGGCTTATCGGTTTCGGACTCATCGGGCTAAAGTTTTTTATCGTGCTAGTCCGTTCGGGCTATAACCCTGTCGGTTTCAGTTTTATCGGGTCGGGCCATCGGGTTAGGACTAAATTGACATCATATCCCTATTGATAACTATACGGTTTATAAATTATGAACCAACAATACAGAAATTATGAATCTGTAGTATAGAAATTATGAATCTATATAGTACTGTATTTAAATTTGAAATATACTGTATAGAAATTATGAATCTACATTTAATAATTTAGTCTAAGCTATACACAATTTCTTAATAAAATTACTAATTTCCTATGAAATTTCCCTCTAAGATATACACAATTTCCCTCTGACAAAATTATTTTAGGAAATTTTACTAAGACAAAATTTCAATTCCCGCTAAGACAAATTCCAATTCCCTCTAAGACTCACAGAGCGAAGTAAAATTAGAAAAATTTTCCCTCAGACAAAATTCCGAAGTGAGACAACTCCGCCGACTGTCGACCGCCGACCGCCATTCTCGTCCGATAGCTCCAACCTCCGACACTGTCGGCACTTCCAACCTCTGCCGCCAACACCCCCTCCATCCTCTGTCGTCGTCGCTCCAACAGCCGCCGCCGTGAAGAAGTGAGTACAGTGGTGTGAAAATTTTAAGGTTAGCATTTCTACTCTAAAAATGTACGGAGTAATAAGCTGTCAAATTCCTCAAAAAATTATCTTATTGTATCAATATGTGTTTATGCTAAACAATTTTGGGTTTAAGCTAGGGTTGGGAAATTAGGGTATGAATTTCTGCAAAATTTCTGTGAAATTTCTACCTTAGTGTTGTTACATTTATGCTAAAAATCTGAGTTGTTAGGGTAAATTATACTATGGCTTGGTTGGTTGTCTTTGTTTTGGCCACATTTACTTCATCAGTTCTGCCTACGGTAAAGAACAAAGAACAATGCTTGCATTTGTTTTGCCTTTTTAACTTAATTTCTAATTAATTTTATAGAGAATGTAGCTATTTTAAGGAGGCACTCTATCTCTTTTTGAAACTTATTTAGCCAAGGAAAAGCTTGAACTATTCTTATTGCAAAAATAAAAGTGAATAATTGTGGCTGCTTAGTGGTCAAATACGCTCATTATGAAACCTTCCATCATAAGCCTTTTGCAGTCCCTATTACCCAAAATAGGAGACAATATATGACTGCAGCACTAGGAAATTAAAACAGATCAGATGCAGTTCATGGAGGCTGGAAATCATGAAGGTTGGTAAGGGAGCTTGGTATTAAAGAAGCAATGTGATGATTAATTTGTTTAAGCTAAGGAATTAGACCACATTAAAAATTAAAGTTCTAACCAAATTTATATCGCTCATCATCTAGAGTTCAAATTTAGTATGAAATTATGACATTAAAAAGTTTTTATCAAATTTATATCAATGTTTCAAATTCAGCATGAAATTGTCAACTTTGACAGGTTTAACTGAATTTATGATGGCTAGTTTTAGGGGGAAAGAAATCATTCAACTTGTATGTTTAACTTAATTTCTAATTAATTTTATAGAGAATGTAGCTAATATTATTTAGAAGTCTCTTATTCCTGATAGGAGAATATTTGTTGGAAGGTCCTATGCAGTGTGTTGAAAGTACAACGTGTTAGGACTTTAAGATTTTAAATTTGTGCCGATTGAAAATATAAAGTGTAATTTCCTATCTCCAGGCGAGCTGCGTATCGCATTATGGGCGTATGCCTTTCTTTGGCCAAAGATGCTGCAGAAACACTGAAGCTCAACATGGCCATAATCCTGTTACCAGTCTGCAGGAACACCGTCACCTGGCTCAGGAACAAGACCAAGTTAGGCGTCGCCATGGTAATTTATGCTTGTGAAAGGCTGCTCAGAGCATTCAGATCTAGCATTAAGCCTGTCAAGATTCTTAAGGTAAATTGATTATTTCAGAAATTATTATTCATATATAATTTGTTTCAACTTTCAAGAATAAAATGTTATTGACAATTTCCTCTGTTTTATTGAAGGTGGCAGTCTATCTTGGAAATGTTTTGTCCCTTCATATGTCGAAGCCACAGGGGTTCAGATACAGAAGTGGTCAATACATGTTTCTCCCTTTGAATGGTAATTGGAAAAGAAAAAAAAAACATTATTGTTTTGGTCACTAATTTCTGTTTTTCCCATTCATTAGAGTCGGCATGTCTCCACTATTTCTTCCTTGTTCGAATTTTCCTTACTGTTTTTGAATTTTGACGGGCAACAAAGCTACGCTTATTGAGCGTATCAAGGAGCATATTGAGTAACTTCCCTTTCATTTCCTTCCATTTTCTGTGTTTGATAATGTGACTTGGAAATTAGTACATAAAACATTTTCTTTTTGCTTCAGTGTTGTCAATGGTGGTGGAGAGAAGAAGTATCCTGTATCTAGTTTTGTATTGAACTGCATGCAAAGGTATTCTCATTTCATAAATTTCTGAAACATCTATTATATAGCATCATGTGTTTGTAAGTTAAGAGACTTTCGATTCTATCATCACTTGATAAAACCTAATTCAATGTTGGTTTGAGAGCTAATTCTAGTTTTTGCTATTCTGAGCTTAACTTCCTGAATTTGTGCAGGTGATGACTTCTGATTCTATCATCACTTGATAAAAGCTATTTCAGTGTTGGTTTGAGACTTAATTCTAATTTGTTATTCTGAGCTCAACTTCCTGAATTTATGCAGGTGATGCATGCACTGGAGATGTTGTTTTGTTTGAACAAAATGTATATGAAATGATAAATACTGATGCTTCTGAGTTCTGATACATTTCTTCTATTTGGTAGAGTTCTGTGCTTGCCTTGGAAGATTCAGCAATAGATGCTGATCAAGTTGAGAACATCATTATGTTTTGCCCAACAAAGGAGGAGATTGAAATGCTTATGGTAAAATATGTTTTAGATTTATTAGCTATTTGTACACAAATCATGTTGAAAACTGTAAATTCACTTATCATGAAATATTTTTGTAGGTATTTGAAGATGCACCCTACTCCATTAACGAAATAGATGAAGTTCGAGAGTTGTGGACACATTACTTTAGTAAAGAGTGCGTGTAACTTTATTTCATTTAAACATTATCTTTATTATTATAAACTTATATTTATGTTTTGTTAAAGAATTGTATATAAGTATATTGTGATGTTTTATTGTGTTGATTATTAATTGTGAAGTATATATATATATAGTATGTTTATGTTTATATTTATTAGAGTTGGTTTAAAAACCATTGTGAATAGATAGTTTAATTTTTTGTAATTAGTTTTGTATTTTTTGGGTGAATTTGGAAATAAAATTCTGTACAGGTTTTGAACAAATAATAGGTAATAATCAAAATTCAAATAAAATATAAAAAATATATATATAAATTTCCGCAACACCCTCTCTGTAGAGGGTGTCCCGGAAATGAACGTATAGAAAAAAATAAAATGGTTTCCGCGACACCCAGCGGAAATCAATTATTAAAAAATAATAAAATACGTTTCGCGGCACCCAAAGCTTAGCGGGTGCCGCGGAAAGTCAGTATTAAAAAAATCTTTTATGCTTTCCGCTACACCCGCTACGGGTGTAGCGGAAATCCAGGGCTTTCAGCGTCACTGGATTTCGCTATACCTGCACAGGTGTAGCGGAAAGCATTTTTATGGGTGTAGTGGATATCTTTTTTTGTAGTAGTGTCCTGACACAAGCTCTTGAATCTAAGGAGCATGGAGGTCGGGTGAGGGCTATAGGGTGACATGTCAATCCCTCTACATATGGTATGATTTAATATATATTTCGAGTCAATTTGATAACTTATTTTTTAGAATGGGTTTCTTGCTCTGAAATTTGGGTGTAGAATGCGTGTGAAAGCTCAAAATTTTGGGCATTTTAGTGCTTGATGTTTTGTAATTAATAAGGGATTTCTTTGTCGTTTGTGTTTAAGTTTCATGCATTATATTCTCATGATTTGTTAACATTTTTTTTTTTGGGAGTGCATTTGTATTGCTTTTTCAAGTGTCTTTCTTTACTTGTTGGCTACACTTCTAATGATTCTCTTTAGGGAACTCATTATCTTGTTATGAACAGTTTGAGTATGAAAGTGGTGAGAGTAAGAGGGTAGTTTCATTATCTTGTTATCTTGTTATGTTGAATAGACTCTAGTATGCTATTTTTGTGTTTCCTGTCTAGCAAGTTGCCATTTTAGAGAGCTTTCCGAATTACTCCAAACTTATTTTGCATTTCATTGCAAATTATTTATATCTATACTAATTTATTTTCTTACTTTTTACATGTAGTTTCAACAAGTTGATTATGACAAAGCAGTTATTGATCTGGTGCGATCTGAATGGGCCGATATTCTATCAAGTCATATAGAGTAGGTATGATTTGGTCATTAGAATGTTGTGATCATTTTGGACTTGAATTGGTTCGTGGAATTGTTTTTTGTGTAGTAGTATTATGACTTGGATGATAATTAGAATTGGTCATGGAAGTCTTTTGACTTGTTATTTTGAACCTTATTAGTTTGTGCACAATTATATAACTACACTTTGCAACATATGGTGAATGGATAAATTGTTTTTTTTATACGGTTATAATTGAAGCAGCTGAAAAACGGTTAAAAACCGTTGTCTATTTTACAATAGACAACAGTTAGAAACTGTTGACTTTTCTACAAAAGACACAACAGTTTATGGGTGTGACAAAAGCGATTTCAACAACACACAATAGACAACGGTTTATAATTGTTGTCTTTTAAAGAAAAGACAACAATTAAAAACCGTTGTCTAAGTACGTGACTTTTAACAACACTGGTTTCAACAACGCTTAATAGACAACGGTTAAAAAACCGTTGTCGTTGGAAGAAAAGACAACGGTTAATGACCGTTGTCTATGTGCGTGACTTTTAACAACACCGGTTTGAACAACAATTAATTGACAACGGTTAAAAAACCGTTGTCGTTGGTAGAAAAGACAACGGTTAATAACCGTTGTCTATGTACGTGACTTTTAACAACACCGGTTTCAACAACACTTAATAGACAACGGTTAAAAAACCGTTGTCGTTGGTAGAAAAGACAACGGTTAATAACCGTTGTCTATGTGCGTGACTTTTAACAACACCAGTTTCAACAACACTTAATACACAACGGTTAAAAAACCGTTGTCGTTTCTAGAAAAGACAACGGTTATTAACTGTTGTCTATGTGCGTGACTTTTAACAACACCGGTTTCAACAACACTTAGTAGACAACGGTTAAAAAACCGTTGTAGTTGATAGAAAAGACAACGGTTATTAACCGTTGTCTATGTGCGTGGCTTACAACAACACCGGCTTCAACAACACTTAATAGGCAACGGTTAAAAAACCGTTGTTGTTTCTAGAAAAGACAACGGTTAAAAAACCGTTGTCTATCCGCAGGACTTACAACAACACCGGCTTCAACAACAGAAATTATACCCCTACGACAACGGTTATTAACCGTTGTCTATGTGCATTTTTCTTGTAGTGCACTCAATTAAGGCCCTAATATATAATATACAATATATATTATAAGGGAAAACCTTACACACTTTTCACCCACATTAAATGTGGCTAGTAACACCAATCACCAACAAAGCTTGACGAAAAATTCGATCGACTAAGTCACCAAATGTGTTCATAGATTTCTAACCATTATTTACAAAAAGCTCAAATTTATGGTATTTAAATTTTTGACTACACACTTTTTGATCATCCGTTGAAAGTGGTCACTAACACCAACCACCAAAAAAACTCTGACAGAAAATTCAACCGACTAGGTGGTCAAACGCATTCACAGATTTCCAATCACCAACACCAAAAAGTCAAAATTATAGTTTTTCTTGACTACACCCTTTGTGAGTGACCACCAATAGTCAAACTTAGTTTAATTTACAAAATTGCAAGGATCTCCAACGATTAACTCAACTACACAAATAATGTTTATTATTTTACTTATTTAATCATCTCCTTATTATGAATATATTTATCCTTTTTTAGTTGAATAATGACATGGTAAGATTTTGTCACCTTGATTAGCAATTTTAAATTGTTGATTTCTATTTAAATATTATTTTTCACTTCCTTGTAAGTTCCCGAACAATATAATACTCCGCATGTAGCACAGCAAGACAAAAGTGCAACGTAAAAGTGGTCAACAAGACATCAACAAACTAGATAGTAAAGAACATAAATTATGGTATTTCAAGAACATTTATTTGTCATTTAATTATGGGTGGAAAATTTTTTTGAATTATCGGACAATACTAAAAAAGTTGTATTTCAAGAACACACTTAAGTATTTTTCCACATACACATAAATGGACCTAAGCTAGGAATGTAACGTAGCTTTGGACATTATAGTAAACGGGGAATGTATTATATAACAAACAAAATTAAAGAGTTTAGAAACCTTAGCCTTACCATATAATTTAATGTTCTGTTTGGACTTTGGATGGGTGGAGGATCAGAATTTACGTGTTTAGCGTGTTTAGTAGTTAAAAAAATATATATATTTTTAGAAAAAATTAGAAAAGGGAAAATGAAAAAGAGTAAAAAAATTTCAAGCTTTTTTTCTAACTTTGTAAAGAGAGTTAATTGAAAAAATTTAGTCGAAAAAAGGAGAAAATTTTCCAAAATAATTATACAAATTTTAGTTCAAAATTGTTGAGAGGAGGCTGGAGCTAAGGCAAAGTCTAGTATCCTACCATTGAAACGTGAAGTTGACTGCTACACAAGTATAACAAAATAAAGTTTTGTATTTGCTACTAGTTATAGTTTTTACTATTGTAATAAAGACTTGATCATCATAATTGGTATCATAACATGCATGTCACAAGTTCAAATCCCATTGAAAGTATATACAAAGTATAATGTACATTTGGGGCTATGCAACTACGCAAATATGCATTTACATCAGTAAGCATTTAATCTTAACAAAAGTTACAATTAATATTAATACAAGTACAACAAATTTGCACATGTTGGTGAAATATAAACCTAAAATTTAGATTCAAATAAAAATTCAAATCTCAACTTGATCACATGTTTAAAATATAAACCTAGTATTGCAATTTAGATTGAAAAAAAAAAAAAGGATTCAAATATCAACTTGATCATGTGGATTAAATATACACCTAAAATTGCAATTCATTACCAACTGCAGGTTCACCGTATATAATATATAAATATAAATGTGCAATCCAACTATCAGCTTATTAAACTTTTAATTGAGATGGTGCACGTACTTCAATTTGGTATCAGAGCCAACTACATGCCAAAAGTCATGGATTCGAACAATCAAACCTGCACATGTGAAGGGGCATATTGAGTATATATATATATATATATATATATATATATATATATATATATATATATAAGCATAAATGTGCAATTCAACTATCAGCTTAGATTTTTAGTTGAGATAATACACATTCTTCAGTCCTGCACAATGAACTTTTTCTTTATTTTCAAGCACCCAAACAAAGCATAGCCAAGATTTTAATTTAATTAAAAGGATAATAATGTCGTAATTAGATGTATGGGCAAAAGTAATTAACAGAATCGTATATGTATCCAAAAACATTAACGCGGTTTGATAGATGTTTCAATGTCAGGTCATTAAGAAAGAAACGCGGTTTTAATTTGATTAATTAACTAACTAATGGCCCCAATAATAGGACGATAATACGTGGCCACACGATCGATACAAAAATCGAGGGGCAATCTTGACTTTTTAACCACCTGGGTTTAATTGCCTTTTGGGCTTTGGCTATAGCCTACAGACTTTATTTCCCCATTTTCATGTTGAAGAATCCTTAAAGTTAGTCAAAAAGATATCTCTTTTTCTTTTTAATTTTTAGATGTCTGAAATTTTGCATGATGTTATATTTAAAAAGTATTGTGTTCTTAAAATAAAAACTAATATGATATATTTATAAATTTTTATAATTTATGTTGGCAAAGACTGGGAGGAATTGATCATTTTAGAATTAATATGCTATTGATCTTCTGCGAATTCAGAACTTAATGTTGACTATTACAAAAAAATATAATGAAATATAGTTGTTCGTGGCACAGGGATTTATTAGCTAGCCGCCCACCTTACAGTCCTAGATCCCTAGTCAGTAAAAGTTCACAGAGAGGTAAATTAGTATAGCCTAAGAATCTAAGATGTTCATATATACTAATTAACTTAAATCAAGAAGGCTTTCAATAGACAACTTTCACAGAAAGTTGAGCTTGGAATCTGTGGTCGCCAAACTACCTATCCTGACCAACTAACTTGGGTGAGTTTGACCTATAATAGTTATCTATGGGGTTAAATATTCACTACATTTTATTTTTAGAATATAACATTTTTTGCCCGCAAGCCATACAAGAAAAGTAGGATAAGTAAACCGCATTAAGCAACGGGCTCAACTGAGATGCAAGAATCGAACTTGTAATATTTAAGTGTATATGAGAATCATGATTCTCTCACTTGACCATCATTTCTGGGCGTTGAGGCTCCATTATTATTATTATTATTATTATTATTATTATTATTATTATTATTATTATTATTATTATTATTATTATTATTATTATTGTTTATAGGTGAATTATATGAAACTAAGGGACCCGTACCATGTCATCATCTAAACCCTTATACACAATGTAATCCTAATTATTATGAAGAGTTGTGACGAAAATTATTTTTGTCGCCATTTTCATAATTATTGCGATGCCAACAAATTGAAACAAAAATCGCGAAATGGCACGAGCTGGTATTGAATCGGCATGAAAAATATGAAATATGACAGATGTGGAATTTCATCTTCATCATTGGTAGACCCCATATATATATATATATATATATATATATATATATATATACACACACACACATATATTGACAGCACCATTTTTAAATTTTTATTTTTAATTAGTTAGCTATCACTAATAACTTTGAATTTACCCATTATTAGCTTCTTCCTAACAAATAACTAGATCTAATCTATTATCTACTAAATATAATAAGAGTCTTAGACCTCTAAAGGGAACAAAAAATGTTGGTGTAATTATTTGTTTAAATTGATGAATGGTTCATATTATTTTTGTTTTAGTATTTTGGTTCAAATCAATTATCTAATATTTATATAAATAGGAATAGGAATGCTATATTCCAAATGGGTGGTCACATCATTGAACATCTAAAAAAAATATTTGAGAAAGTATAAAACAGATACTACCTTGTAAAAAATCATGAACGTTTCAAAAAAAAAAAAAAAAAAAAGTAATTGTATTACTGGCTTGATAAAAGAAATGGAAAAAATGATAATAAATTCTTATATTAAAGAATATTGTACGTGTCACTAGTACAAAAATAGACATGCGCGTCTGATTTACAATCGATACGTTTGGTGCGAACACATAAATCATCAACTTTACACGTTTGCTAAATCCTTATATATATTATATGTCTATACTTAGTAATTTCAAATGAAATATCATTGTCTTTCAATATAAATAGTATATATTTAATCCTCATTTATTTCGTGATATTATCATTAATTGTGATGGTAATAAGGATATTAATAATAATAAATGTAATTGAATTATTTTACAATAAAATAAAATAAACGTTTATCTTGTACAAATAATGTAGTACGTATTTTTTTAAGAGTTAAATTATTGATACTCTTCCTGGTGAAAATAAAATAAAATTGTGTGAAATTTTGATAAGAAAGCCAGATGGCAGTCTTACGTTGTAATGTTGTCTGATTAGAGCGTTGTGTTTACATCGATAGATCTGCATTTGATGTTTTGATTGATTTCAAATATATTGTCGGTGAAATTGTAATAAATCTGTATATCAAATGGATTTTAAATTTCAATCTGTAATTATTATTGATTCCCAATTTCCCATCAAGAATCTTTGCAGGATAAAGTAATTAAGTAATTATGCCATCAATGTTGCAGCCCGTGGGCGTATAGTGGGTACGACTTGAAGCCATGTTCATATCTAATACGTTAAAAGTTATAACTAATAGTGAATACATAATTTTGTTTTATTATATTTGTATGACAGTTAACATCAAGTATTAATGATAGAATGTTAGATTTTATCTTTTCAAATTTCTGCCCAACACCCATGTGTCAAGGGCTATTGTCCTAAATGAAACTGATGATCAAGATTCGATTAGATTAGTGTGAATATCTATATAGTATATGTGAAGGTAGTTCTCAAATTCTAATTAGTATATTGCATTAAAATGTGTGGCGTAGTGGATTAGACATGACTCTCGTACCTGAAACCATAAGGTTACAAGTTTTATATTGCCCTCCTAGCCGGATGTCTATCTGTTCAAACATACCAGACTCTCGTACCTGAAGCCATAAGGTCACAAGTTTTATATTGCCCTCCTAGCCAGGTGCCTATCTGTTCAAACATACATGACTCTCGTACCTGAAGCCATAAGTTCACAAATTTTATATTTGTTCAAACATATTTTCTTAACCTAATGAAGCACAAAGAGTCAATAACGCTTCTCATGACCTCCCATATAAGAGATGTCACTACATGCCATCTGAGCACAAGGTGCTTGGCTATATAGTACATACCTTAAGCACATTAAGTTATCTCTGTCAAAACAAAAGCAAATTAAAAGGTTTCTTGTGACTTTGGTTTTTCTTGAAAGTTCCAACATTAAACGAACTACACAAGCATCATAATAAGCTGCCGGAATAATGTAACAAATTCCAAGTGGAAATAATAATATTCAAGGGTAGTACATACTTGTCACCCTTTTATCTTCCCATTTCTCTCTCTTCCTCTCTCTCTCCACACATTTATATATAGACATACATATATACTCCTCTCCCTGCATTGTATATATAATAATATATGTGTATATATATAGTATGATATAATCTCCATAAAAGATCTGAATTGAAAGCTTCCTTTGGACTACCAACTTTCTTCCTCCCATGAATAAACCTTAACAGAAAATATTCCTTCTTTAGTACTTGTTTATATCTTGTCCTTCCAGAATCTATCTTCAAGCTTTCTTCTTCATTCCCAGCACCAAATAAAAAGAAAAAAAAAAAAACCCAGTTCGTGGAGTACGAGGAATGGGTTTAAGAGACATCGGAGCCACGTTGCCGCCGGGGTTTAGGTTTTATCCCTCCGACGAGGAACTGGTCTGCCATTACCTGTACAAGAAAATCGCTAATGAAGAAGTTCTCAAGGGCACTTTGGTGGAAATTGACCTTCATACTTGTGAGCCATGGCAGCTCCCTGGTACGTCGTCGTTTTACTTCCTCATCATCTTCTTCTTCTTCTTCAGTTCTTCTCTGTCTACCTGATCATGCTAGAATTTTTTGTTTTTTTTTTCTTTTTTTTTTGGGAGGTTAAAAGTGGTAGGTTAGTTTGGAAATTACAGTTTGATGACTTTAAGGAAAGGGGTGAAACTGAAAAATTATTAATATAGCAGAAACTTTAGGAAAAAGATTCATGTCGTCCAAGAAAACTAAACTTTAATTTCTTGCTTTCTCCATTAGTCTGGCCGGGGATGTTCATCAGTTGCTTCAATCTTATTCAGTGGATTTATGATTTTCTTTCGCATGTTTGTGGGCGCAAAATGTGTAAAAAGCTGCAAATTTAAAACGATAATGGAGTCTTATCATTAAAGAACATATATTCTGGGAAATATTATGTCTATTTACTTGATTAGCCTTTTTTAGACGTATTAACCATTTATAATACTTTTTTGATCACGATCATAAACGTCATTAATTATCTTCTTTAAATTATTAGTATTTTTTAATATTATAATATTTTAACAAAAAAATTTATTATCAAAGAAATTATGGTCAAGTCACATAATAATGGCTCTCCCAAATAGAAACTCATAGGCTAATAATATATTTACACTCATAAAACGTATGAAAGGGTCGAACCTAACTAGTTAATATATTATCACTAAAAAAAATTTCAAATTACGTATTCTCATGATTGCGTGTTTGGAATTATCTTATCTTTTATAGTATCATTCATTATTTTTTTCTCTTTTTGGTGTGTATATACAAAGTGAATGATATATTCTGTCTTAACTAAATTGATCAATCTATTGCGATACACGCATAAGACATATATGTTCATCTTGTGATTTATAGGTATTATTACACCTTAAAATATTTTTTTAATTAGGAAAATAGCAACTAACACATGATTATAGTATACTAGGTAAATGCAATTATGATCAAAGAGACGCGATCGAATATTTAGTCCAATCGAACTGGTCCTGGGCATGTCATGACGCTTAAATCATCCCACTTGGCCAAATTATTGTCACATAATAATTATAGGATAATTGAAATTATTTTGATATAGTTAAAGAATATGCGCAGATACGTATTTAATTAACATGTAATAAATTGAACCTACAACCTTAATCTTTGGTTTAATATCGTGATCACAATAGTTATTGACTTATCACCGTTGATCTTGAAAAGATAACGAAACAGACACGAGTTGATATATGTATTATTAATTAATGAATCGTCACTGTTTTGATTGAAAGATAAAGTCGAAACTCCCCTTTTTTTCCTCCATTGTTTCGTCCGAACGAACTTTCTCAAGAAAAAAACTTTGCTAAAGCCGAAACATGCGTGGGGAATCTATTGTGACGATTACCCAACTTTTTTCGTCACTTTTGCCAATATTGTCTTACAAACCATTCTTGCAGGTGACGATTTCATTCCGATCGAACAATTATTTTTTCTTCTCACTCACACCTCTATCTAATCTATCTATTAATCCTCCACACCTCTCTTACTTGCAGTGTTTTGTCGTCTTCTTCCTTAATCTTCGCTAAACTTAATTGGACGAATTGAAATTAAGAAACAACTAATTAACTAATTAAGGGTGTTAATGATGATTATATTACAGAGGTGGCGAAGCTGAACTCGAGCGAGTGGTATTTCTTCAGCTTCCGGGACCGGAAATACGCGACGGGGTTCCGGACGAACAGGGCGACGACGTCAGGGTACTGGAAGGCGACGGGGAAAGATCGGACGGTGATGGATCCCAGGAGCCAGGCGATCGTGGGGATGAGGAAAACGCTGGTTTTCTACAGGAACAGAGCGCCTAACGGCGTTAAAACGGGATGGATCATGCATGAATTTCGTCTCGAAAACCCCCATATTCCTCCCAAGGTAATACTTGTGCCACCTTTCCTCTTCCGACATGGCAACACGTGTTTGGTTTGTTTTTCGTCTAACCCTACGTGATGGACGTGTATGTGTCGTCATGTGGCGGGTGACGTGGAGAATAATAATAATATTAACTCGGGATGTGATTATGTGGAAGAGAAAATATTTGATATTTAATTTTAGATATGGAACAGTCTTAAATCTTGGGTATCCAAAATAATAATAATAATGCATGTGACAAAAGACGAGAGTCTTTGTGGGAAGCTTCTTAGAAAGCTCAACGTTGAAATAAGACAGATAACCAATGACTAAAAGAGGAAAAGTTTCCCACCAACGTTGAAAAAAAAAAAACTATGTGCGGCGCGCATATTAACATTGCGGCTAATTAATAACCTAAAGTGTATATATATTGATCATTAATTAATTTAGTTTCTTGTGGAAGTGTGATTCCTTATTACCTTGTTGTTCCTTATTAATTACCTTGTACAACATCATCAAATTTTAACAAAAATAGAGAAGTTCCACAAGGGCAGCTCAGTTGGTCAAAAATAATCAGAGATCTAGTTTTATCAGCAATATCTTCTGTACAAGAGTGTCGCTAATATTAAAAATTGATAGTATAAATTAAAATTACATTTTTGCTACTAATTATGAATCTGGTAAATGAATGTTAGCTTATTGAGTTAATTAGATAGTATAATATAATTAGTTGATAACATTAACTGATTGTAGAAAGGTGTTTGGTAAATTAGTTATTAGCTGATAGTTGTTTGGTATAATTTTTTTTCTTAAAAAGCTAATTGAAAAAGTTGTTTTGAACAACTTTTTAAATTTTAGCATTTTGGAGTAACAAAAAGTGGTATTATTATTGTTGTTGCAGGAAGATTGGGTTCTATGTAGAGTCTTTCACAAGTCCAAGGGAGAAACCAGCGAGAACAACCTTAACACCATGTACGACAATAGCATCATCATACCGCCGCCGGCCACCTCCCCGACTAGCCTGGCCGCCTCTCCTCCTAACATGGACGCCGTTTCCTTGCCGGCGTCAGCCGCCGCCTATCGTCCCATCGCGGTGGCCTGTCAGAACCAAAGCGCCACCACTGCGGCGGCGGCGAATTTCTTCAACGTGTCCTTGTCGTCGTCCGTGCCGGAGCACCACGGCTTTCTCCGGTCGCACGAAATGCCGCATTCCAAGTGCGAGACTGACCAGTACGGCTTCCTGTTCGACATGAACTTCGAAGAACCGAATTTCCAGGACGGCGGCGTCCATTCGAGCCTCGATGACATGCGATTCGACGATGAAAACGGCATGGTTTTCATTTGATCTGATCATTACACGCAGCCTATACATACATACAGACAGACATATATGGATTTGTGTTTATATTGATATATTTATATGGTATATATATGTGTATATGTAGATGGACTTGAATTTAGAGTGTTAAAAAAAAAGTCACGGCATCCATTTTTTGAATGGTACATGCATGTTGTAATGTTTGGCTGTGAGATAAGGATGTTGTTTGATTATTGGATGTTATGATTCTTAATTTACTAGCTAGGGCTAGCTAGGTTTATTCACATGTTAGACATATATATGTGGTGTAATTTGGGTATGATATTATACTTAATTAATGATATTCTTTCTTTTCATTATTTTATATATTTTTACAACTCATTGTTCCAAAAGGTTGAATCCCCAACCTTAAGGCCCCTCACGCCCCTGCCCAACAGAACATCTGGCAGAATATAAATCATGGTAAAACAGTTAAACACAGAGGCAAGTATAAGTAATCGTAGTTCATTTGTTTCGTTCCAATGGGACTTGTTTATTAAGTAAAAAATATCTACATAAAAGAACAATAGATACAAGTTTAATGTATGTATATATGAATAGGTATCTCCTGATAGATATATATAGGGAAGGGATCAGGTGCATTTGTGGCTTCCCGTGCGGTTGTGCGGTAGATTAATGTGCGTGAGTCGCGTGCTTAATGTGCTTGAGATTTGTACTTAATGTGCGTGAGTGTGTAATGTTAATGTGCGTGAGTTTTGTACTTAATGTGCCTGAGTATTGTGCTTAATGTGCGTGAAGTTTGTGCTTAATGTGCGTGACATGAATTCAGAATTAGGAGCTCAAAAGGAAGCAGAACAGAAAGAGAAGGTGGGTGAAGCTTTTCTGTTTGTGTGTGAATGGATGGATATATGTAAATGCACATATGGCTGTTCTGATTTTATGTTAAAAACAAGACAAAATCCATTCCTCCCCCACTTCGAAACAAAAAACAAGAAGAAAATGCAGCAATGGATGCGCATAATTTTCACAGCAGTGGATGAAGAACATACTCACGCACATTAAGCACACAATTCACACATCTTAGGCACAAGACTCACACACCTTAAGTACAAAACTCACGCACATTAACATTACACACCCACACATATTAAGTACAAATCTCAAGCACATTAAGCACAATACTCACGCACATTGAGTACAAACCTCACGCACATTAATCAACCGCACAACCGCACGGGAAGCATTCAACCGCGCGGGAACCTTACACTATATCACTGCTGGAAATTATGAAATTTCTGACCACCTGAAAGTGATTTTAAATCAAGTCGAAAGCCTTATTCCGACCACTTTTGGCATTCGAAAAAACCTTTGTTGCTATTTCCGACCACTTTTTGCTTTCGACTTGATTTATGATTACTTTCTCGATAATTTTCAGCAATGTATATATATATATATATATATATATATATATATATATATATATATATATATATATATATATATATATATTGTAGGGTTAATTATGCAGATGATGAGATTTTTGTATTTGATTTCTTTGCTTTATGTTGAAGGGAAACAAAAATCTATGAATAATTATTGTGAAATGATTTATCCTGTAACACAAGTCAATATTCCGGCCTCATCATAATCTAGTCATTGCTAGCTAGGGATTGGAAATTGAGAAGAGAATCCTCCTTCAAGTCAATGACCCTATAGCTATAAGGTAATCTTGCTACAATAATGCTACTCTATGGCATTAAAATAAAAAAAAAATTAATAAATAAGAAACTTAATTACTAGTTTACCAAAAAAAAAAAAAAAAAAAAAAAAAAAAAAAAACTTATCTTGGGGGTAAAGTAAGAGTTAACCTATTTTCATGCATCAAAGTCTTTGTGTATATAACTTCTTTTTACATTTTTCAGGTTGCTCATCTGTGAGTGAATCCTTTTGTGACAATCAACACCACATTTTAATGACAGGATATTAGATTCAACTTTTTGAGCTGCTGCCCAATAATAAAATATTAATGTTTTACGGTCCATGTGATAATTTGGGGATAGGGAAACGAGAAACTCCATACGAGGTTTTGGAGAGTTAAAAGGAAACTTCGTTACTTTGTTAAGGTACATGAATGAATGTACAATGAGAGAGGACTGACATATAATAATAATGGCATGGCTTCTCTAGCAGACAGCAAATGGTTCCATCTCTCTTCCTTGTATAGCTTCAGTGTTAGCTTTTTTGCCTGAGTTTTTTTGTGTCAGGTGTTCTTGGGTACACTTTTGTTGTATTTACAATGGCAGTTCAAAGATGGTAGAAGCTTGCCCAACAAGATGGTAAATTGGTAATTTGAGGTCGTGAAAGTCTCGTACAAAATAAAGTTTTTCATTTGAATCTTATCAATGAAACAACATATATCGAATTGGGAAAACTGCAAATGATCAAAACGCTTACTACTATGTTAAAAAGTATACCTAAAAACGAATGTATAACTTTATTTTTTAACAATTACATAATTGTCAATAACAAAATGGTAAATTTGGCTTTCCAGCCTCTACCAACAATACCTTCCCCCTAAATAGGTTCTAATAATTGTTTGGCTTCAAATTCATTAAAATTAGTCCTGAAAATGGTGGTTGAGTAGATGGAGTATGATTTTCATACTTGAAGGTTGGGATGAGTTCAATTCTTACCAACACACTCTCGATCCAGCCCATTGTATAAGATTTTTCTAATGCGATTTACCTCTCTTGTGTGGTTTACAGTTTATTGCATATTCTGTGATTTATAGGCTATTACACAAGAGAGAGAAATTTACCTAATATATACTCTCAAATAGTAAATGCGAACTTTACCCTTGATCCATATTTATTTTTTTTTTGGAAATTATATATGGTTAAAAGAATTGAGAATATATAGGCTAAGTTATCGAAGAATGGGTTTAAAACCCATTACTATTAGAGCACTACACTGCGAACGTAAGACAGGGAATGGGACAACTGCCTGCTTGCTTTGTCGGCCCAAAGAATTGGGCTTAAGATTGGGCTGTACAATATATTTAGTCAGACTAGGCTAAAAGCAACGGCAAATTATGCTCTGCATCCGTATGCACCATGCATGGTGCATACGGATGCAAAAACGACGTCGTTTTAATAAAACGCGCGTCTTCCCTTAAAAAAAAAAATCAGGTTCAATTCCCAGCAACAACATATGAACTAAAATTCCATAATCGATGAACTATAATTCTATAATCTAATCTATGAACTAAAAATACCAGAATGAATGAACTAAAATTCCATAATCTATAAACTAAAATTTCATAATCGATGAACTACAATTCCATAATCAATAAACTATAATTCCATAATCAATGAACTATAATTCCATAATCTATGAACTAAAATTCCAGAATGAATGAACAATATAATGTTGTTGCTGGGAATCGAACCTGAATTTTTTTTAAAGGGGAGACGCGCGTTTTTTAATAAAACGATGTCGTTTTGGCATCCGTATGCACCATGCATGGTGCATACGGATGCACAGCATAACGATTGAAAAGCAACTGCCTGGGCATAATGATGGATGTTTTACCTATCACAATCAAACATCCTCATAATGTAAAGGAGTTAATACCTCCAATGGTCTTCCGAGTAGGAAAATATTTGGTGTATTTCCATTTTAAACTCCTAACTTGTACTCCTCATAGTCTCTTGATGTAGACATTTTTCTATGGGCCCACATAATGAAAATGACCAACCTCTGAGTATTATGGATTTACCAGCTGTGGTCCTTCGAGTTTTAAATGATCTCTAATGGTCATCCATGTTTTAAAAGAATATAAGAGAAGAGAAAATGCTAAAATGATTTTAATTGAGAGGGATAAATGATGTTATTTATTTAAAATAATAAGAATAAAGATAGAAAAAAATTATGAAACTATTAACTTATTTTAAAAATACTACTTAAAAGTAATATTTTAAAATCTACTCTTATTTTAAATTATTAACTTATTTTGAAAACATTATCAAACAGAATTTACAACTTATTAATAATTTAAAATAAGTTATAAGTTAAGCTCTGCTAAAAAAAGCCTAAAACTGATCCCTTAACTTGATATATAAATAATTGTACTAACAGTCCCGACCAACTACCTTAACTTCGCGTTGAAACATATTTCATATGACTATTCTCAGCATGATAGGATTGATAGCCATGTGCCCTAAATTAAATGAGGATCGAATGAAGTTTTGACCATGTGTGAGGTTGAAATTAAGGAGAGGAGCTTTGCATTTTTTTCCCCATTGGGACGACATATACAGTCTTGGGTACGGTCCATTAGTCTAAAGCCCAAAAAGCAAGTTAGTGTTTAGCCGCAACGTAATATTATATATACTCTGATGAACTCTCACTTTTATTTACGTGGCATGTTTTGATTTAAAAGTAACACACAGTTTTTATTTTGTTTTTTCTTCTTTCTCTGATAAAATTAATACATTTAACAAAGGCTCTGTTTGATAATATAGTTAACTTATCAATTAATTTTAGATTATTTGATCACTATTAACTGTTTGACTTAATTAAACAATCAATATGACTGTTTGATTAATTCTTTTTGTAATAATTTATTACTTTAAAATTCTAAAATTCAAAAAGCTGATCATCAAAACAGTTGTTTGTGAAAGTTATTTTGCATGTAATAACTATCAGCTAACAACTAATTTACCAAATACTTTTATATCATCATCTAATGTTATCAACTAGTCAAACTCATTAACTTAATCAGCTAACAGCTATTTACGCAACACCCCCAAAAAATTTTAAGAGAAAGTTATTTTGCATGTAATAACTATCCGCTAACAACTAATTTACCAAACATTTTTCTACCATCATCTAATGTTATCAACTAGTCAAACTCATTAACTCAATCAGCTAACAGTTATTTACCCAACACCCCCAAAATTTTTTAAAAAAAGTTATTTTGCATGTAAAAACTATCATCAAACAACTAATTTACCAAATACTTTTCTACCATCATTTAATGTTATCAGCTAGTCAAAATATTTAACTCAATCAGCTAACAGTTATTTACCCAACACCCCCAACCATTTTTTATCCATAACAATATATTACAATTATCATTTTCCTTAGCCGCATATACTCTCACTACTCTATCTCCACAACCCACGAATCATGCTGGTTTTGCCGGCGCGGCGGTTCTCCGGCGACAGCGCTCTCAACTCTCAAACAGTCAAACCCATAATCGTTGCATTATATTGCCGGTGAG